TTTTTGATGTTTTGACGAGAGTCAACGGGCCCGGCCAGTCAAAATACGAAAAATGGGGGGGCGGGAAGGATTTGGTGGCTTTTTGGGCAGGCTAGCAGAGATTCTTTAGGAAGGGCTGGCTAGCAAGGATTCTTTAGGCAGGGAGGCTAGCAGAGATCCTTGGGGGAAAGCGGCCGAGCAGCGATCTTTCGAGATTGCTGACATCTGCACCAATGAATGGATCGACTAGACGAGAGGAGAGAGGGAAAGCGAGAGAGAGAGAGAGAGAGAGAGAGAGAGAGAGAGAGAGATTGTTCGGAAGGCTAGCAGATATTCTTTAGGAAGACGCAGACTAGCAGAGATTCGTCAAAACAAAGCAAACTAGCAAAGACTCTTTAGGAAGAATTTAATTTCTCGCCAAAAATTTTCTAACATCAATTTCGACAATCCCAACAAATTAATCAATTCCCGGGGCCGCCCGTTTTCAGGGGCATTTCGCACGGCAGCCGATCACCTCCCCCAAAAATGGGGGGAAATTTGAGGGAAATGCGAACGGCGGACAAAGAAACGCTCGGGATCACAGACGGCATCTCCGCTTTTCGCCGGGCGCCTTGATTTTTCGCGGTTCCCTCTCTCGCTTCCGCTTAAAGTTGGCGTTTCTCGGCGGTTGGGGACGCGAAATAGCGGTTGGGCTAGCTGACAGAGATACTTTGGGAAAGGGCAGGCTAGCAGTTATTCTTGAGGAAGGGACTGGACTGGACTGTTAGCGGGGGGATCCCAAATTTTCCTTTTGGTTTTCTACCGCCCCATAAGCAAATATAAATAATTTTTATGGCCTTTTACATAGTTTTTAAACATAAAAATAATAAAAATGTTCGAAATTTTTGGTTTTTTTGGCCAAAAATGTATGAAAAACATCAAAATTTCGAATTTTGCCAAATGTTAGCAATATTTGTATGACTTTCTTTCAATCAAAAACGACTAAAACACCATAAAAATGCCAAATCTATCATCAACAGGTGAAAAACATAAAGGGCCCACCCCCTCGCTAAACCCCCCCCCCGCTAGCCGAGCAGAACCGGGCAGGCTAGCAGAGATTATTTAGGAAAGGGCAAGCTAGCAGAGATCATTTAGGAAAGGGCAAGCCAGCAGAGATTCTGCACGCAAAAATCGTTTGTACATGCCGTGCCATCCGCAACAATAACAGGTTGGGGGCGCGGTGGGGGTGTGTGCGCGTCTAGGTGTGCGCGGGCGTGTCATTACACTTTTCTTTAAAGTTCCCCAAAAAGGGCAGTGGGAGAGAGAGAGAGAGAGAGAGAGAGAGAGAGAGAGAAGGGTCGAAACGAGTACAGTTCCCAGGAGATTTCGAGAACCAGTCTAGGTTTCCCCCGAGGCTGCTCGGCGTACGTATCGGGTTTAAAGGGACCGGGAAGGCCAAAATTTCAGGCTAAAACCATAAAATACAGAACTTGCACACCAAGGCTTCTCCTCCAAGCTGATCGGGGACTATCGGAAAGCTGAACGGCGGAGTTATTTATTCTTTAAAGTTGGGGGTCACGGGCCTGAAGTGCACTCCTGTTGGCAAATAGACAACGACAAATACAGCGCTAATCTGCTGGCAAAGGTGTTATTCTCGGACCCAGGCTTACCCCGAAAAAGCGAAAAATGTCTACGAAATCCGGGAGAATTGGGAAAATTCACGTTCCAATATACTGAAACTAAGCCTAGGCCAAGCCTAAGCCAAGCCTAAGCCAAGCCTAAGCCAAGCCTAAGCCAAGCCTAAGCCAAGCCTAAGCCAAGCCTAAGCCATGCCTAAGTCTATGGTGTTTTACGAACCCTTGTGGCGCGATTATTTGAATACGATTTTAAATACGTTTATCATAATTAGTAATCTAGAGCTTCCTTCGATTCCTAGTCGGACATCTCGCGCTCCAACTGGCTGATCCGTGATTTCTGAAGAATGGTTTATTCAAAAATGTTCATCTAACTGACCAGCTGCGAGATCTCGCGGTCCTTGGCCTGCAACTTGTCGCTGAGGACGGCGACGGCGACACCTGAATCTCATATCTTCACTTTTTGGTCGAATCAAGTATCTCTCTCTTTTTTTCTCTCTCTCTCTCTCTCTCTCTCTCTCTCTCTCGCTCTCTCTCGCGCTCACCTGTATGCGGGGCGACTTCCCGGTTCTTCCATCGTCCAAGCAGGCGGCTGTGCTCCTTGTTGAGGATGTCGTACTCGTGCCGGATGGCCGTCAGTCGTTCCACCGTCTCCTCGTAGCGGATTTCGGCCTGGAAGTGCAAGCAAATAATCTTTGCTATCCTGCCTTTCCTAAAGAATCTCTGCTAGCCTGCTCTTTTCCTAAAGAATCTCTGCTAGCCCCCCCACTCACCGTCCGTAGCTTCTTCCTCAACTCCGCCAGGGCTTCATCATTCCTGACTTGTTGAAGTTGGGCTTTGGGCGAACTTGCCGCCCCATTCTGCGACAAAGTAGATGAGGACTTGCTGGGCGGGGTTGGATTTTTTGGCTGTCTGCCAATGAGGGGCCCGGTTTTGATTGGCGGCAGGCCCTTGGCGCTCAGCACCTCTTCCTCTGCGTCCGATTCGCTGAGGTGTAGATTTGGAGAGCCTGGAAAAGACGGTCAAGTTGCTGCATAGGAAACTAGCATGGATTCGGTGGGATGGGACGCGATGGTGGGGAAGGTAGAGAGCGAGAGAGAGTGAGTGAGAGAGTGAGCGAGAGAGAGGGAGTGAATGAGAGCGAGACTGAGAGTGAGAGGGTGGTAAGGGCAGAAAGAGAGACAGGGAGAAAGAGCGGGATAGCATGAGAGAGAGGTAGAGAGAGAGAGAGAGAGAGAGAGCGAGAGAGAGAAAGAGAGTTCGAGCCAAAGATAGAGAAAGCGTGAGAGAGCGAGAGAGAGAGACCGAGATAGAGAGAGTGAGAGAGCGAGATAGAAAGAGAGAGACAGAGTGAGAGAGCGAGAGAGAGAAACCGGCAGATGCAAAAATCCCGTAAAAGCTTCTACTTTGACCCACATTCGCACCCCTTTGGTGCGGTGGGCCCATGCAAATTGGTTGTATCGCTGCAATCAAGCCCGGAGGGTACATTTTTTTGGCGCGGTGAACCAAGGGCGGGCCAGTAGGGTCAGCAGGTCAAGGCGCAGCTGGCTCGGTTTAAAAATTCTGCCGCAGAACTCGTCACCGATAGTCGCATTTTACTCCAGAAATCCAGAACCCCACCCCATAGTTCCCTGTTTAGGCTGCTATTCAATAGCACTAGTCCCTGCTTTTAGCGAATGATGAAGATATCTCTCTCTCTCTCTCTCTCTCTCTCTCTCTCTCTCTCTCTCGCTCACTGGCTGGTAATTTAATACTTTCAATAATGTACTCATTCCAGCCACCTACCAGGCAATGGAACAACTTGGTGGCGCCAACGAATTGAAGGGCTTGGTGAGAATTTGCAAAATTAAACCCCTAGCAGAGATTTTTTGGGAAGGGCAGGCTAGCAGAGATTCTTGCGGAAAATCTTGTCCCAAAACCGTTTTTTAGACCCTCCAAGAGAAGAAGCTGGCCGTGCGCAAGCGTCTGGCCATGCTGCTGCACTCCTACAACTGCATGGTACGTCTTGAAAATATGAAAAATGGCTAAGCCTAATCCTAAGCCTAAGCCTAAGCCTAAGCCTAAGCCTAAGCCTAAGCCGAAGCCACCGAACGCGAGCGTAAGATAAGGGAAGCCCTCTACCCCCCGCCAGAAAAGCGGGGCCCACACCAGCCACGCCCAAGCCAAAGCCAAACCCAGCCCAAACTCCAACCCTCCCCCCCCCCCACGGGCAGGCTAGCAGAGATCATTAGATACATCTGTTTACGGTAGTCCAATCCACACTTTAGCAAAACATGACGATTTGCGTGCTCGACGAGTGCTGCGCGCTGCGCATTCTGCATCGGCATATTGGTGGATGCGACAAGGGGCGGGCGTGTGAATGTGAGTGGTTTTTTGGGGTTAATGAAGGCAAACCAGCAGGGTTCATTAGGGAATTCGGCCGGCAGGCTAGCGGAAGTTATTCAGGAAGAAAGGGCCGGCTAGCAGAGATTTTTTGGGCGCCTTTAAACACCCTTTCTAGACCCTCAATGCACATCCGCCAAGCTGCTGCTGCAGCATTGGAAGGTTTGCCAGAATTCGCAGTGCGAGATCTGCCGCGCGCTGACCGGGCTGAGGACGCTGGCAGGTATGGAGTTGCTCTAACTCTCTCGCTCTCCCTCTTTCTCTCCCTCTCTCGCTCTCTCTCACTCATCCTCCATTTTCAGTTTTTGGCAACGTTGGCTGCAAGGAAGAGTCCGATGCCTCTGGAAACTCCTCCTCATCGTCATCCTCCTCCTCCTCCTCCTCCTCCTCCTCCTCCGATTCCAATTTCTCAGCCACCGAGTCCGGTTCCTCACTGTCATCTGAATCATCATCATCATCATCATCATCCTCATCTGATTCTGATTCTGACGACTTCTCCGAGACGTCATCGAGCGTCGATACCAGCATGACGCAGGACTCGGAGACGGAAGAATCGGCAGGATCGGAGAGTTCGGAAGATTCAGAAGATTCCGACGATGATGTGGATATCGAGGAGACGGGGACCAACGAGTTCGACAGCTGCATCTTCATGGAATCCGAGGAGGGCACGTTGACCATGGGTGACGTGCTTGGGGATGAGCCTTTTGGTAAGGAATCTCTGCTAGCCTGCCCTTTCCAAAAGAATCTCTGCTAGTTTGCCCTTTCCTAAAGTATCTCTGCTGGTCTGCCCTTTTCTAAAGAATTTTTTTTCAGTTACGCCGGACGTTTCCCACAGCTGGCACGACGACATCAGTCAAGATGTGCGAAAATCGATGGTCCAGGCCTTGATTCAGGCCCGGACGGACTCAGGCTCCGCCCGATCAGGTGAGCAACGTTGTCAGCGGTTTTAAAGGGCCATTGAAGCCAAACCTAGCCGTCAAGAATTTGCCTTGTCGGTCCCTGTAAAATTCGGTTTAAGAGGACGAAATGTCAGCCGAGGCCAACGAGAAGCGGTGCTACAACACGTCAAAAGATGCTCAAGAATACTATCAGAGCGTGGCATACAAGATTTTCTTGGAGCAGCGGACGCGATTGGAGGTGGTAAGTGGCTAGCAGAGATTCTTCAGGAAAGGGCAGGCTAGCAGAGATTCTTCAGGAGGCAGGCTGAGACTTTAGGGAAGGGCAGGCTAGCAGAGATTCTTTAGGAAAGGGCAGGCTAGCAGAGATTCTTTAGGAAAGGGCAGGCTAGCAGAGATTCTTCAGGAAAGGGCAGGCAAGCGGAGATTCTTTAGGATGAGGACTCAAATATCCTCTAAATTTAGCAACACAAAATGGCCGAAAAAGTGAAAAACGCCGAGGAGGAGCACAAACTGAGAGCGAAGATCGAGACCGCCATCAAATTCGTGGGTTTCCGAGAAATTCCGGGTAACAAGGATTTTTCAGCTGGAAGCAAAAGCGGCGATGCTCACAACTGACGATAAAAAGACGCTGAAGAGCATCATAACGTCCAAGTTGCTCAGGTAGGTGGCAGAGATTCTTTAGGAAAGGACTGGCTAGCAGATATCTTTGCGAAAGGCAGGCTAGCAGAGATTCTTGAGGAAAACAAAATTTCAGCACCGACGGCGAGGAGCTGCGAAGGCGTGTTGAGCAGGGAATTTCGATGGTCGATTGCGTCCCGCTGGCCAAGGTGGAGCGGAAGAGGGCAAAAGCCGGAAAGCAGCGCAGAGCCATGCAGACGATTCTTTATGATTTGGAGAGGAGAAGCCGTCAGCAATACCAGCTGAAGCCATTGGTAGGTTTTTAAGGCGGGCAGGCTAGCAGAGATTCCTTAGGAAAGGGAGGCTAGCAAAGATTCTTTAGGAAAAGGCAGGTTAGCAGAGATTCTTTAGGAGAGAAGCTAGCAAAGATACTTTAGAAAAATTCAAGCTAGCAGAGATCCTTGCGGAATCGTATCTCGCCTCATAAATATTGTAACAACTGAATTTTAGGCCCAACGCGCGGATAAGGAACCAGAACCGGAAATTCAAGCGCTTCCTGAACTCGAGCGAGCTGAGGAAATTCAACAAGCTCAAGGCGTTCAGCAAATTCCGGAGGCGGAATCCACGAAGAATCCGGCGACTCCGGAATTCCTTGCCAATCCGGAAATTCCGGAAACCACCGAAACGCCGGAGGTCCCGGAATTCAGCCGGGAGCCGGCACCGTACTACCTCATCTGGGATTTCGACAATGTCTCCTTTGGCTGCCCGCCCAAAATTTTGCATCACTCGATGGCGTTGTTCCTCGCCGAACTCTATGGAGATGCCGTCAAGTAAGTGTCGTTTTTTGGTTCGGACAGGCTAGGAGTGATTCTTAAGGAAAGGGCAGGCTAGCAAAGCTTTTTTATGAACCTCCCTGAACACCTTCTTTCAGATGCTCCGATCAAGAAGCCGTAAGTTACGGCTTCAACGCCGTCTGCAAGATGCTCTGCTTCCTCCAGAAAGAAGCCGACATGGAGAAGTGGTTCCGCGTGCGCGTCGAGCTGCTCCAGGAGTTGAAGAAGTACCAAGAAGACCCCGGAAACCCTGTGGCCCGGCCAGAAGAAGTCCAGTTGTGCCTCAACGTCCTCGACGACCGACTGGAGGCGATGTGCGGCGCCTATATTCGCGCCCCACACGTGACGCTCCCAGCCGAGAAGATCGAGCCGTTCGGGAAGCTGTCGTGCGGCCTGACCGCCCAGGAGAATGTTGATGCTCAGGCGCTGGTGCTGGAGAGTCTGCGGAAAGTGAGGGCTATGCGGGTCGAGTTCAAGAAGGGCGGGGACGGAGTGGAAAACCAGCAAGCCGAACGAGTCCCGCAACCACATCAAGACGGTGTTGAAGCCGTTCAGCAGCTGGAGAATTTCGGGAAGCTCGATCAACCGGATCAGCCAGAGGAACAGATCGAGAAATCCGAGGAGCTCGAGGAGCTCGAGCAGCTTAAAAAACTCGTAATTCGAGAAAGGTTAGACGTGGTGGTGCAGCAGGAGGAGCCCGTAAAGCGAGATGCACTGGCGGAGCAGGAGGAGATCGATGAGAACGAGAGGTTAGCATGGCGCGAAAGGTTCGAGAGGCGTGAGGAGGCCCAGGAGCACGATAAGCTCGAGAGGATGGAGAAGGTCCGACAATTTGCCATGGAGAGGCTGAAGGTACCGTATTTTTACCGTTTTTAGGAGCCAAACGGGGGAAAGAAGCATAGATTTTTAAGGAAAGGGCGGGCTTGCCGAGATTCTTTAGGAAGGGCAGGCTTGCAGAGATTCTTTAGGTAAAGGCAGGCTAGCAGAGATTCTTTAGGGCGGGCAGACCAGCAGTGATTCTTTAGGAAAGGGCAGGCTGGCAGAGTTCCTTTAAGGATCCTTCAAAAATTTTTTTCCAGGAAGAAGCCCGGAAGAAAGCCGAAGACGAAATGGAATGCTACAACCTCATAGCCTGCGGCCTGCTTCTTTGCTTCTTTTTATCATGCGTTGGCGCCTTCCTGACCGCTTTTTCCTAAATGTTCTAGCTTTTCTCGTCATTTTGTCATTTTTAATCGTTAACTGTTTTTTGTTACAGATAAATTCTTTTTTCTGAATTTGCACTTGGCAAAAAATGGCAAAAAATTCAAAACATTGAAAAACGCCCAAATTATAAGGAAAAAGGCGGCTAGCAGAGATTTTTTAACGGGGTCGCGTGTTATCTAAAATATGCAAACAATCCTAGTCTCCTTCGATTTAAATTTTTACAGCTCGAAATTGGGATGCTATACACGCTACCGCTATCAAAACTGTATTTTTGAGGTTGTAATAGCACGAAAACAACGTCCACCCTCTATTCCCCAAAACGCAAAAAATTTCTCCCCGGCCGGGAATTGAACCCGGGTCTCGCATGTGACAGACGCGGATACTCACCACTATACTACCGAGGACACGAGAAAGGGGAGAGGGGGCGGAGTTGATGAAGGGAAGGGGCGGCAAGAGGGCCAGGTGGAGGCCTGATACCGTTTTTCGGGCGGCGGCCCCAACCGTGCAATGATTATGCCCGGGGGCGACGCTGGGGGCAGATGCTCACCTAGGTCACCCGTAAGGTCGGATTAGGCCGTACTGGGCATCGGCAGATCGGCTATGTTAATTTCCATCTTTCAGTCACGTTTTTATGACCTTTTTTCTGTAAAATACCACCATTACCTCCTTAAAAAGGGATATAATTTTTTAAACGGGTATTGAATAACTTTGTAGTTTTGTAAAGTAAATAGCTAATTTAGCATCTACAGAAATAAAAATTTTCAGCTCGAGAAAACGTAAAATTTCTGTAGATATCAGGATGATTTCTTTAAAAAATACAATAAATCTTCTAATTTGCATAGAATCACTCTGTAGTTCTGCAAAATTAAAAATTAATTAAAAAATTTTGTTGGCTGATCGAATTTTTGCTTAATATTAAAAACCCATTTTTTGCACAATTATTGAGTTTTTTTGTAATTATAAAGCGATTTTTCAGGTTGTCGGCAACGCTGAAAAATGAGCCACGACAAGTTCATGTCGTTTGACGACTTCTTGGTAAGTATTCTCTTCAGCTAAGGCTTAGGCTTAGGCTAGGCTTAGGCTAGGCTTAGGCTTAGCTTAGTTTTAGGCTTAGGTTTACTTTTCCTAAAGAATCCCTGCTAGCCTACCAACCCCAATTTTTAGCCCCTCCCGTCACTGCTCGAGAATATGGTCGATGCTGAACAGTGCAAGGTTGGCTCGGAATCCGCAATGATCTTTGCTAGCTGCCCTTTCCTAAAACATCTCTGCTAGAGTGCCCCTTTAAAGCCATTTTTTCAGGTCGTCAAATGTCAAGGCGCGACGTGTTCGATCATGGGAAAACTGAGCCAGCATCGGAAATCGGGATGTAATGGCCAGTTTTGCGCATGTAAGTATGGTTTTGGAAAGGGCAGGCTCGCAGAGACCCTTTAGGATCAGGCGGGCGAGCAGAGATTCTTTAGGAAATTACCCACTTCCAGACCCGGACTGCGTTCCCTTGCAACGATTGATGAAGGAGCACGAAAATATGTGCGGCATCTACCCGTACTACAATTGTTTCGTCTGCACGGCGTGGCGGCACACGATGTATTTTTATAAAGGTAGGTTCAGGTTTTGCTTAAGCTTGGCTTAGCCTAGGCTTAGGCTTAGTCTGAGGCAGAAGCTCTGGCTTAGGCTCAAGCTTGGGTTACGGCTTAGGCTTAGGTCTAGGCTTTGACTCCGACTTAGGCTTCGGCTTCAGGCTCAGGCTTAGGTCTAGGCTCGGGGTTAGGCTTGGGCATAAGCTTGGGCTTAAGCTTAGCTTATGCATGGCTTAGGCTTAGGCTTAGGCTAAAGCTTAGGCTTGACTTTAAGTTCTTCTTTCTTTGCAGGCGCCCCTTCCCTAATGGAGCCGCTGGAGCGCGACAAATGGCTACGTGAGCGCTACCCAATGTATTTCCTTCGCCAAGTTGAGACCGGCCTCCAAGCCGTCCAACACGTCCAAGCCGAGCAAAAGCTGCTCGCCGCTGAAGCCGGTCAACTACCTCCAGAAGTTCGGGCAGAGCGCGAAAAGCAGCTGAATGCGCTCCTGGAGCTCTTGTTCGCGCCGCACGCTGATGCAATCCGATCGGTCGCTCATGAGCACCGACTTGAAACTGTTCAGAAAATTCTGACAACGCAGCGCGCCCAAGCCCGCCAAGCGGTTCAATTGGAGCGACAGGCGCTGGAGTCGCAAGCTAAGCAAACTGAGCGCCAGGCTCAAGCAGCTCAAGTCGCCTCCAGAGGGCAGGCTGAGAAACGGGCGCTAGCCGTTCGGGCAGCTGAAGCTGCTGAAGCTGTGGAACGGGCTGAAGCGCTCCATGCCGAGCACGAGCTGCGGATGCGAGCCGTACAAGCCCTTCGAGTAGAGCACGAGGCTTCAGCGATGCGCGCGAGGCAGGAACAGGAACTTCGTGATGAGCAGTGGGCTCGGGAAGTTCAAGCAGCTCAGGCACTGCAACTTGAGCAAGCTCTATTGATTCAAGAAAATTTGTGTTCCGAAGCGGTTCAAGCGGTTGAGGCTAAGTCGAGAAAACTATCTCAAGTCGTTCAAGCTGGGCCTGGAAAACAAGCTCCAGCTGTTCAAGCGGAGTCTGCCTCCGTCGAAGACCAACTTAAGGCCCTCCAAGCCGTCGAAGCCATGCTCCAACGACAGCGTCAAGCCCTTCACGACCATGAAAAAGTTGCCCAAACAGTTCAAGCAATTCGACCACAAACCGAACAAGCCAATTGGTATGAAGCCGACCAAGCCATCCGAAGCGCCACCGACGCAGTAATGGCCTCGAAGCTCCAAATCCTGAGCCTGACGGTGACCAAGAGCAAAGTCCGCGCGCAAATCATGAAAACGGCGATAGAAAACCAAGTCAATGCGTTTAAGCAGCTTCAAACCGTGCTTGGCGGGGACGGCGGGGCTTCTGGAGCTGCTCAAGCAGAAGCCGCTAAAGATTCTGAAGCCAAGCCTGAAGCTAAGTCAATTCTGGGCCTCCAAGCCGATGCTGAGCTCAACAGCGGCCTTTTCGAGCAGTTCAGACGAGTTTCGCTAGTCGGTCAACCGGAAGAATCCGCAAATTCTGAAGCCAAGCAGGACAAGCCTGTTTTGGGAATCCAAGCCGACGCCGAAGTCAAGAGCAACTTCTTCGAGGAGCTCCACCAAGTTTCCGAAGCCACCCAAGCCAAGCATACTACGTCGATTCTAGGTGTTCAAGCCGACGCTGAAGTCGAGAGCAAGCTCTTCGAGAAGCTCAACAAAGTCTTTAAGGCCGCTGCGGCTAAATCGGAAAAGTCGTTTTTGGACTTTAAAACCGCCGCGCAGTTCGCGAGCAACCTTTTCGAGCCGTTCAGACAAGCGCCGTCCGAAGCCCGTAAAGCCCAAGAAGCCACAAATTTTGAAATCAAGCCGGAAGCTAAGCCAATCCTTGGGCTTCAAGCCGATGCCGAGCTCAAGAGCCCCCTCTTCGAGCAGTTCAACAGAGTTTCTGAAGCCGCTCAAGCCAGTGAGGCCAAGCGTTCTGAAGCCAAGCCGCTTCTTGGGGTCCAAGCCGATGCTGAGGTCAACTCAAAATTCTTCTCGCAGCTTGACCAAGCCGCCGAAGCCGAGAATTTGAAGCAGAAGCCGAAGCTCAAGGCTTTCTTTGGGGCTGATCACCCACAAACGGCGCTGATCAACGAAGCCCTGCTTAGCCGAAGCCAAGCCGAGGAAGCCGAGAGGATCGCCTGGCGCTCGCAGATGCCGACATCTACTAGACGATCGCTTATCCACCTGGCTGTCAAGGTCGGTTATGGGTCTTTTTGGCTTCCACGGTCCTTTAAAACGGGTTTTCACTAAAAAATCCCGGATAGAATTTTGTTTCCTAAAGAACCTCGGGGCTAGTCTGCCCTTTCCCAAGGAATCTCTGCTAGCTTACCCATTCCTGAATAATCCCTGCCAATCTACATCCCTTTTTCAGGCTCTACTCGAAGTGAAGCCGGAGTTCCGCCGCAATCCTGCCCACATCAAAGCCCTAGCCGATCGGGCTTGCCTGGCCGAAAAAGCTGCTTTCGCTACGGCGACCAACCGGGAGGAGTACTACTGTAGCCTCACCGATGCTGTTAGCTGGGAATTCGAGCATGGAACGGCTTAAAACGTATGGTTGCAAGAAGTGTTTTCAAATTGTCGAAATTTAATAAGGTCAATATCTAGAATGGCGGAATTCATAATGTTGAAAATTTGAAAATTCCGAATGTCGAAAAGTTGCAACGGCGACATTTCAATTTTAACATTTTGAAGTTCGAACCCAGCCCCGGGCGCTTTTGGGCCGTCCACCCTTCAAAGGCTCTCCTCCTCGCCCCTCACACGTGTCCTCGGTAGTATAGTGGTTAGTTTCCGCGTCTGTCACATGCGAGACCCGGGTTCAATTCCCGGCCGGGGAGAAATTTTTTGATTTTTGGGGAATAGGACCAGCAAGTTATGCTAATGTTTTTGCAACCTAAAATTTGAAAATTTCCATCTTTTAGGTGACACGCGACGCGAAGCTCGCTTCTCCTCTTGATTTTCCACAATTCCCGACGACGATTTGACTCGAACTTCTCCAATGTCATTTCCGTTTTTACCTCACGCTATTATGCCAGTTCACCTTTGAGAATCCAGGGAATAAAGTGATTGTAAATATGACTACGCAAACAACAAAACTACGTCTTCAAACCACAAATAAACAGAATACATACGGAATTAGATTATTTGGGAAGGGCAGGCCAGCAAAGATTCTGTATGAAAGGGCGGGCTAGCAGAGATTCTTTAGGAAAGGGCAGGCTAGCAGAGATGCTTTAGGAAAGGCAAGCTTGCGTAGCCACCAATCCTATCCGTCGCCCCATCCACCGTATCCGGGCCTTTTTTATAGTCTGTTGCCAGGGCAGCCAGGTGCCTCGGCTGGGCGGGTGGCCCCAGCCTACCGCCAGCAAATAATTCTTCAACTCACCCACGCATCTGCCCAGTAGGAATTTGGCATTATTTTTGGAATCTATACGATGGGATTGGGGGTAAATGGTATGCCCCGAGGGCATACCTGACAATGGTGCTGTTAAATGGACGCCATCACACAGGGGGATGGATTCGAAATGGGCAGGCAAGCAAGCAGTGATACTTTAGGAAAATCGGGCGGAGGATAAACAAAGCTGGGCCAAACCTAAGCCTAAGCTCAAGCCTAAGTTTAGCCTAAGTTTAAGCCTAAGCCTAGTCTAAGCTTAATCTAACAGTGTTACAAACTGCAAAAAAAAACGCAAAAAAGCACAAATGCTGTTGGGTAACTAGCAGAGATTCTTTAGGAGACTCCTACAAGATAACCTCGAGCCCTATAAAACCAGCAGAGAGCATTTAGGAATTAGTCGAGACGCGCACCCAGTAGCCAGCCGAGAATGTTTAGGATTTTCGGAGAGAGCAAGCCGCCGATGGGCTTTGCTCAAGAATCTCTGCTAGCCTACCCTTTCCTAAAGAATCTCTGCTAGCCTACCCTTTCCTAAAGAATCTCTGCTAGCCTGCCATTTCCTAAAAAATCTCTGCTAGCTGCCCGCGGGCTGGGAACCCAAAAAATTAAAAAAAGCACATAATGCCCTCCATAATTTTCGATGGTGCCCGGAGGGCACTATCGCCAATGATGCGCAACTCCCAATATTCGCGGCTGACCCCGGCGGCTGGATTTGTATTTTTGGGCATCAATTTCTGGCGGGTAGTGAGGGTTGGCTGGGGTCAGATTGGAGCTGGGAATTACGCGAACCAAGAAAAATACAAAAAATTAACCGCAAAAAATGATGTGCCGTTGATAAGAGCTGGAGAGTCAGCTTTTTTTTGGAAATATCTTTCTGTACTCAATTAACTGCAATTCGCAACGAACGTACATATCTTCCTTACCTCGCTCTAAAGAAACTCTTCTAGCCTGCCCCTTCCTAAAGAATCTCTGCTAGCCTGCCCCTTCCTAAAGAATCTCTGCTAGCCTGCCCTTTCCTAAAGAATCTCTGCTAGCCTGCCCTTTCCTAAAGAATCTCTGCTAGCCTGCCCTTCCTAAAGAATCTCTGCTAGCCTGCCCCTTCCTAAAGAATCTCTGCTAGCCTGCCCTTTCCTAAGGAATTTCTGCTAGCCTACCAGTTCCCTACCTGAACAGCGTCAAGCTCATCATTTCTGCGTTCCTAAATGCTCTCTGCCAGCCTGCCCACCTCCACACGAAAATTCCAGATCCCCGCCCCAGGCGCTCGCCTGAATTAAGCCAATATGGCTGATGATCAGCCCGCCGCATCAACAGCACCAGGTACAGATGAGCAGCAACAAGGTGGGTGTTGATCAATCATTTTAAAGGGATTGAAGGGCAGTATAAATTTAAGGAATTTTGCTTCAGAACCCGCTCATGATCCGCTGAGCTGGCGAGCCAAGTGCAGCCAGCAGTACCGGGAGAGTATGATACAGTGGGTGTGGAAGGTGCTGCACCCGAATGTTCAGCAACATTTGAAGATGGTAGGTTGGGAGCTCAAAGAATCTCTGCTAGTCTGCCATTTCCTAAAAGATCCCTGCTAGCCCCCAATTTTTAGGTCACGGACCCCCAACTCGTCTCAGACCGCAACAAACTACAAGAATACGAAATCCGGCTCTTCGATGATTCCGCGTCCTTGGCTGACTACCGCGCAGCGCTCAAGCGATATCGAGATATTTATAAGGTAAGTCGGCTTAGCTCGGAATTCAGCCTAGGCTTGGGCTTCGCTTAGGCATATGTTATAGTCCAGGCTTAAGCTTAAGCTTAGGCTTAGGGTTAGGTTTCGCTTAGGCTTGGGCTTGGGCTTAAGATTGCTCCGAGCCAAAACTCGGGCTTAGGAAGAGGCTTAGGGGTTGGTGCTTAAGCTTAGAATTCGGTTTAAGCCTAGGCTTAGGCATGGTTTAGGCTTAGGCTTAGGCTTAGGCTCTATCAGACCCATATTTTTGCTAAGCGGTTTGCTGGGTTTTTTATTTGCACTTCCCTAGTCAGCCTTAGGCTTCGAACTCGCTAGGCTTAGACTCAGACCGAAGCTCTCTAAGGAACATTTTTTAGCCTGGGACGAAGCAGATGGCTGGCCGACGCGCGGCTAATGAACCACGAGCGCAAGCCGGTAAAAATTTAGCGTTTTCGTGGCGTAATTTATCAGGATTACGGTTTCACCTTACTTTTTAGCAAAAACCCAGAGCACGGCGGTTCCGAGGAAACGCGAGACTCCGGTGGACACGGCGGTGCAGGCAGTGCCGGCCAAGGTGGCTCGACGAGCCTCAATCGACCCGAATGGTGAGTTCCATCCGAATCTCTGCTAGCCTGCGCTTGCTTAAAGAATATCTGCTAGCCTGCCTCAACCTCCTCTTTTCAGCCGCCTCCACCAGTCAGATGCCTCCTCCTAGTAGCGCTCCTCCAATGGCATACAGCAGCCCGCCGGTGCAGCACCCCCAGGAGCAGCTACAGTACTCTCGCTCCACTCCCGGACCCAGGGGACAACCGAATTATCAAAATTTTCAAAACCCTGGCTTCGCCGGGCCTATGATGTCGCCGACAGGATATGGAAATCAGCAAGGAGCCCCGATGGGATACGGTGGCCAAATGCCGGGCCATACGCAGCACCACCAGGTCGGTTTTAAGGCCTAGCAGAGATCCTTTAGGAAGGCAGGATAGCGGAGATTCTTTAGGAAATGGCAGACTAGCAGAGATTCTTTAAAAACCCTTAAAATCCGAGGCCCAAAAATTGTCATTTTTAGATGAACTACGGCTCGCCCGGCTTCGACGGCCAGTACAGCCGACGTGCCAGCCAGGATATTCCGCCAGGCTACGACCAACCAGCCCACAGGAATCCTATTTACGCGAATCACATGCAAATGCACATGCAAACCCACGGCGGCTACGCAACCCCCGGCTACGCCCCTCAACCCCAAGCCGTTCAGCACGCGGACGACGGAGATGAACAGGCCGACCAGGAGGTGCTCAGCTTCACCACGCCGCAATACGCTCGACGCCCTCAAGCCGTACAGTACTCCCCGAGAGTGCGCGGCGATCAGCACCCGGTAACCGAGGGTCGGGAAGGTGAGCAGCTACAGGGAAGCCCTACACATGAAAAAGCTTCGGAAAAGGAGCATGACGTCTCCAAGGAGGTCAAAAAGTCTGGGAAAACCGAAAAAGGAGCCTCCACAAGGTCACAGAAGAAGTCGAAAAACCTGGAAAACGAAGCTGAACAAGCTCAAGAAGCTCAAGCCGTGCAGCTATCAAACAAGCCCCGAAGGACATCTGATCCGAAAGTGGCAGAAAAAGGAAAGAAGTCGATAGAAAAGAGCCAGAGGCCCCTAAAAAAGAGCGCCGAAGTTGACCACGTGGGTGGAGAAGTCCAGGGAGAAACTCAAAAAGCAGAATCTGAAACTGCTCAAGCTCCCCGGCCCGTTCCAGATCGGCCTAGAGCACTACCAGCCCCACCTCAAGCTCATCAAGCTCAGCCGGCCCTCGCGTCGCCCGTTTTTCCGGCTCGTCAATTTCGGCAAGTGCAGCAACGGCCCCTCCCCACCCATGCGCCAGCCCAAAATATGCAAATTTCCCCTCAGCCCGGCTACCACTGGCCCCCCGCCGCCCAGGAGATGCACGTTGGATATGACCACCGTCGTCATCGACAGGTTCAGCAACAGCAGCCGATGCTGATGTCGCCCCGATTTTCCGGCCAGATGGTCATGCAAGTATCGCCTGCCGCCCCGCAAGAGATGCATTTTTACGACGTCGCCCGTCAGCAACCGGTTCAGCACCGGCGCAGGTAAATACTTTTATTTCGACAAAATTCTGTAAAAATTTCCTTTCTTAAACAACGCGTTTAGATCATCTCCACCCCCACCACCCCATCGAGTCGTCCAGAGCACGATGGAGCAGCGCCGCGAGGTGTCGAGCATTAGCCCCCTGGCCAGCGCGTACAAAGACTGGTTCCGGCTGGACATGACCGCCACCAGCTACACCACCATGGTCACCTTCATCGCGAAGAGCATCTACGAGATGGTCACCTGCGTCGAGGAGAGCGACGCGAAGACGGGCAGAAGGTGCATGACGCTGGGGCTGAAGGTCGAGGAACGCGCCTATGACATGGCCGAATCGACGATGGACTACTTGGACATCACCACAGGCTGGTTGAACGTCATCAAGGAGTGGATCTGCGTCGGCAAGAAGGTCACCGCTGACGACTTGAAGGAGATTGAAAGCGAAGTTTGGAAGAGGATGGAATTTGAAGAAAATGAAGGAGATGAGCAAGAGGAAGAAGATGAGGATGAGCTCCTGGCTGAACAGCTTGAGCGCAGGCTACAAGAAGGGGATGACCAGCAGAACGGAGAGGGTCAGATCGAAGAGGAAGAGAGGGCGATGAGAGCGCAGAGAAAGCTGGAGTTGAGGGAGGAGGAAGCTGAGGAGAGGATGAGGGAGCAGGAGAGGGAGATATTGGAGCTGAGCAGGAGCCGGAAGCGGAAGGAGGATGAGGAGAGAACGAGGATGGTGGAAAAGGCGAAGCGGCGGAAACTTGTCGAAGTTGAAGAGGAAGAAGACGATGAGGCTCCCACGTTAATGGTAGGTATTCCTAAAGAAGCTCTGCTAGCCTGCCCTTTCCCTAAGAATCTCTGCTCAGTACTAACCCATTTTTTTCAGGAAGCCGAGCAGATGCGAGAGAGCAGAGCGCGTAGAGAAAAAGAGAGACGCAGAACTGAAGCTGAAGCTGAACAACAGGTACAAGCAGTCATCCCAGAAGCGAACATCACGAAAAGGAAGCGAAAAATTGTAGAAGAAGAGGAGGAAGAGCAGGAAGAGCACGAAGTAGTAGATGAGCAAGAAGGGGAAGAAGATCAGGAGCACGAGGTAGATGAACAAGAAGAAGGAGAGGAAGAAGATGAAGACGAAGATGAGCAAGACGAGGAAGAAGACGAAGAAGATGAAGGATTCGACGACGAAGAAGCCGAGGAAGTCACCGAAGAAGAGCTTGCCGCCGAACTCGCCGAAGTTGAGGTCAGGGAAAGGGAGGAGCTGGAGAGGCTCCAGGCCGCCGCAGCCGACAAAGCCGAACAAGCCGACAAAGCTAGAAAAGCCGCGGGAAAGATGAATAAGATGGAGCAGGTGGTGCTCAAGCTGAGGGCCGGGACTCAAAAGCCCGACACACCCGAGCCGGTCAAGCCGACGAAGCCGTTCAAGGCCGGACAGGCCGAGAAGCTTAAGCTTGCCAAGCTTCCTGCTGAACGACGAAAGCAGCAAGGAGAACGAGAAGAACGTGAAGCTTCATCGGAAGTGCCGGCGAAAAAGCCGAAAAGCGCAATTGGTGCGCTAATCGGAAGCGTCATCAAGCTGGCCAAGGCCGCCAAGGCCAAGGAGGTCAGTTTTTCAATCTTAAGGGGCATAGTTAGCATACCAAGCCTAAGCCTAAGCCTCAGCCTAAGCCTAAGCCTAATCTAACCTAAGCCCAAGCCTATTAGCCCTAAGCCAAGCGAAGCCAAGCCTACTCCAGAATTCTTCATGCACTTTTAAAATTTACAATTTTCAGGCTACTACCGTAACCCAGCCAGCCACCTCGACGAAGCCGTAAAACGAGTAAAAATAAAGCTTGTAAAAATTTATTTTTCTATCGTATTTTGTAGTTTTAAAACTTTAATTTAATTTTCTCCAGTTCGATTTTTTCGATTTCCTATTTTTTCTGCGATAGAAATAGTCCCGTCTAGTTGTAGTCTCTTCTCTTATTTTTGCAATGTTTTTTTTATCGTTTTTCAGGGCATATATTTCCCACACACTCTGGTATTGATTTTGCATCTCAAAAATATTCACTTTCTCCCACCCAAAAAATTCACTTTGCATTTGCATTTTCGATGATGACGATTCGACATATCGACCGATTTTTTTGCGTTTTGAATAAAATATTTTGGTTCTTGAGAGGATTTGAGGATTTTTTGAGATTTAACTACGAGAAGCAGAGATTCTTAAGGAAAGGGCAATCTAGCAGAGACTCTTTAGGAAGGGGCAGGCGAGCAGAGACTCTTTAGGAAGGGGCAGGATGGCAAAGATTCTTAAGGAAATGGCAGGCTAGCAGAGATTCTTAAGGAACGGGTAGGCTAACAGGGATCTTTTGCACAAGTTTTCCAGAGCTTCCCTTCTCCCGTAGGCACAGAGCCTAAAGGTTGCCCCGGTTACCATAACCCTGTGTGGCGTTGTGGGTGGTCTGCCCCACCCCGACGCTGCCCCATCCGGCCCTGCCCCAATCTCTCGCCATCAATAAGCAGACCCCATCCCAGCGTGAGAGGCCCCCCTTCTACAGGCCTTCACAAAAACGCTTCTTCCTCCTTCTCCTCCTCCGGGCCTTCCTCCTCTCACACCCCGTAATTCATGGCGCCTCGGCGGAAATTGCGGTCGTCGGCGCCGGCAAAAAACCGGCCTCGGCCCCCGGCTGACGGATCGATGGAGGAGCCCGAGCAGGTGGCCGATGAGGTACCGAATGTGCTTATTGATGCGCTGCTAGGAATCGGGTTTTTTGGGAGGGCTAGCAGAGATTCTTTGGGAAAGGGCAGGTTAGCAGAGATTCTATAGGAAAGGGCAAACTAGCAGAGATTCTTTGGGAAAGGTAGGCTAGCAGAGATTCTTTAAGAAAGGGCAGGCTAGCAGAGATTCTTTAGGAAAAGACAAAGTAGTAGAGATTATTGAGGGAAGGGGAGGCTAGCAGAGATTCTGTAGGACAGGGCAAACTAGCAGAGATTTTTGAAGAACTTTCCAATTCTCACGTTTTTTGATTCCATAAATTGGAGCTTCAGGAGCCCGAGGTTGAGCCGGAGCCTGCAACCCCACCAAAAGGCCGGTCTCCCTCCAAGCGCCCCCGTCGTCTGACGTCATCTGAGCGGTCTGGTGCTTCCGAATCCGTGTCGCCGACGCGACGCTCCACCAGACGACGTGCCGGCACGATGGATGATGTGGTGGGTGCTCAGGTTTAGCCCTAACAAGGTCAAGCTCAAGTTGGCACGGTGGAATGTCTTAAAATGCTCGCGACTACCCCTAGGTTTTCGACTATTACGATAAACAAAAATTGTTTCCACCCCAGTGATTTGTCCCCCCCGTTAAGCAACCTTTACCCAGAAAAATTATGCTTATGCTTGGGCATTGACTTAGGCATAAGAAAATTGGGTAATTAACCGCAAACTTGGGTAATTGAACCGGGCGCCGCCGTGCCTTCCCACTCGCCCCCCACCTGGCCCACTGTGTGGACAGATAGTCCAACCCTTTCCACCTCAATTCGTCAGTCGGCTCACCCCGACCTTCTGACCAATGGGTGTCAGGGCTTCCCTTAATGCCTGAAAATGGGTGTAATGGCTCCCCTTAATGCCTAAGAAAAGCTTCGGCTTGTGAACTGCTTGAAAAGCTTCGGCTTTGCAGTAAATACTGGCTTGGCTACGTGTTCTACGTAGTCCAAATGCCTAAGCAACCGGTTGGTAAGGCTGCAGCCACAGGCGCGGCACTTTCGAAAAAGCCTGGCCCATACACGTGGTGGCCAAAAAAGGCAAATTTCCCTCCAATTTTCGCATTGTGGCCCTTCCCCCCTCCCTCTACCCCCCTCCCCCTCCCCCTCTCCCCTTTCCCCTCTCCCCTCTCCCCTCTCCCCTTCCCCCCCCCCAAAACCCCAACCTCCCAAACCCCAAAAACGCCCCTGTCACCCAGCCCTTTAGAAACATCGCATCGGAAGTAACTGACGAGAACAAACCGGACTTTTAACATTGAACTACTTGATTATGCTTAAATCTTACTACTTTCAGATACATGAAAGTCACGACGAACCGGTCGTAGCTGTAGATGAACAGATGGAAATAGGCAACGAAGAGGAGAAGCCGAAAATGCCGAAAAATTCTAGAAGACTGCTTTGCCCGGATACGGTAGGGAGCATCTTAATTTTCAGTACGAAATTTAGGGTCGAACAGAATCATTATCGCCAAGGAGAAGGGGGCGGCAACCTAACACAACTAATGCCGAGCTTACAGTAGGAAAACATTTTTTAAAGGAGGAAGCTAGCAGAGATTCTTTGGGAAGGGCAGACTAGCAGTGATTTTTTGGGGAAGGGCAGGGTAGCAGTGATTTTTGAGAAATTTCAGAAAGATAACGAGTTTATTTAGGAGCTTGCCCTAGCAGATGATGAAGCAGCTCAACAACTCCAAGAGGTACAGAGCCCCGAAAAAGCAGAAAGTGTTTCCCCAACCAGAAGGAGCGGGCGACGACAGCAGAATCAGGAGAGCACGGTTGGTTGTCGCGGGCAGGCTAGCAGAGGTTCTTCAGGAAAGGACAGGCTAGCAGAGACCCATCCGGAAACGGATTTATTGAATTTAATTTTATAGGGCGCGCCAGCTACCGTAATCCCTGGAAACCTTGACGAAGCGGCGGGCCCGGAAACCGACGTCGAAACTTCAAGGTCAAAGCCACGAGGACGACTTGCCAGAATTAAGCAAGAGGTGGTGAGTACGGCTTCCGCTCAAAATGCCGACAAACCAGAATCCCGATAATCATAACGCCGACAACCTTCAACTGCCCTTTAAACCGAATATTCAGTCTGAACTCCCTGAAGAAGTTCCGGAAGGGCAGCAACTTGACGAAGTGGGAAGTGAGGAAATGGAGCCGGCGAGCACGGCCCCAAAAAGACGCGGAAGACCTCCGAGAAAAGCTGCGGAATCGGCGGAGGATACGGTAGAAATCACCACAAATTAGAATGCTTCTTTAGGAACCGGCGACAAGGCGAAATGGCCGAACTTCTCGAAGTCGGTCGTCCACCTCAGGGGTCAAAGCTACCGCTACGGTTCCGACTACGCGGCGCTCCGCTCGACTGAAGGACACTGAGGTTTGAAGAGGGGCAAGCTAGAAGAGATTATTTAGGAAAAAGTAGGCTAGCAGTTATTCTTTAGGAAGTGTAGCAAACTCCTAAGCCCACTTTTCAGGAGCCAGCTTCTGAAGAACACGACGAAGATGCCGGGCAAGCAGGAGAAGACGAACACGCCGAAGAGGCTGACCAACCTGGCCCCTCGTCTGCACCTGTACAACAAGATGAAGAAGACGATGAAGATGAGGAGGATGATGACGACCCCCTTGACCTTGATGAGCAGTGCATGGCGCGTGTGATGGCAAAGTACCCGGGGCGGACTCGGAAGCAAGTGGTCACCGCCCTGAAGGCGCTCAGGGCCAAGAGCCGAGCAGCTGCAAACGCTGCCTGGAGGCCGCCGAACGTGACGCGGGAGCAGATGGTGAGGGAGTCTGGCGGGGATTTTTTGGGAACGGGCGAGCTAGCAAAGATTCTTTGGGAATCGCACTGATCTGAAAGCAATATTTTCAGGCAGAGCCCAGCTTCCAGCGATGGTTCATGAAGGAGATGTTCAACGCAACGATTTGCTTGGTGAGGGATAGAGAGACAGCGAGAGAGAGAGAGAGAGAGAGAGAGAGAGAGAAGGCGAGATTGCGAGAGAGAGAGAATGCAAGAGAGTGAGAAGGCGAGAGAGAGAGTGAGAGAGAGCGAGAGAGACCGAGAGAGCGAGTGAGTGAGAGAATGTTCGAATTTTTCAGCCACTACCTTGCGACCACAATCGACATCGCCATTACATCGCCTTGCAGCGCCACGCCATCCAATGCAATTTGCCAGAAGGCGAGGAGTGCCAATGTGAGTTTTCCGCAAATGGAGACTGCTAGTTTGCCTATCCGGCTGAAGGCTAGCAGAGACTCTTTGGGAGATGGCAGGCTAGCAGAGATTCTTTTGGAAAGGGCAGGCTAGCAGAGATTCTTTACGAAATGGCAGGCTTGCAGATTCTTTATTTATTTTATATACAGGGTGTCCCAAAAAAAAGACCCCCCAAAAATTTGAGCCAGAGAGCACCTACGGAGCTGAAAATTTGCACAGAGGTAGCGAAGCCAATTTTCTATGAACAAGGAAAGTTTCAGCCCGATCGGCCAGCGCGTTTTAAAGTTATAGCGAAAATACTTTTCATTTTTAATTTAATATGGGGATCTTCGAAATTTGCATCAAAGATATGCGTTATTCTTGTATTTACGAGCCGATTTTGCATAAATTTCGCCGAAAAGTGCCATTTTCTTGATGGAGCTTTTGGAAAACGATTGTGTATGCAGAATAAAAAGAGTGTTAAAACAACTCTTTTATCGATCCAAATCAAGTGTTATTGTACATTTTGGCAATTTGAGCTTCGTCGGCCCGAAAACAGAGTTCGACGAGCTCGAAAACAGTGTTGAAGTTTAGATTTGGGCTTATGTTGGCGCGTACGCTGAAGCTTAAGCCAAGCTCAAGCGTCCAACGATAGCTTCCGCCACGAGGTCTGGTATTCATCGTTCTTGCTGATCATTTTCTCGCTACATAAGCAATCGTTTTCCAAAAGCTCCATCAAGAAAATGGCACTTTTCGGCGAAATTTATGCAAAATCGGCTCGTAAATACAAGAATAACGCATATCTTTGATGCAAATTTCGAAGATCCCCATATTAAATTAAAAATGAAAAGTATTTTCGCTATAACTTTAAAACGCGCTGGCCGATCGGGCTGAAACTTTCCTTGTTCATAGAAAATTGGCTTCGCTACCTCTGTGCAAATTTTCAGCGCAGTAGGTGCCCTCTGGCTCAAATTTTTGGGGGTCTTTTTTTTGGGACACCCTGTATTTCCCTTGATTCCAGACAAAGAATGCGCGCTCACGAAAGACATGATGAAGCACTGGCGCACCTGTGTGAATGGGTGCTTCATCTGCAACGAGCCGCACCAGGCCCACGTGCTACGCCTTGATGAGAACAACTACCCACCTCCAGGTATCGCTTAAGGTTAAAAAACGGCTTTTTTTTGTTCAGAAGACGTCATGGGCCTGGCGGGACGCGATGCACCGCTCGATCAGGATCCAAGCAAGTTTTAAGGGGTTTGAAGCACGAAAGAAACCGGCTTCATTCCTAAGCCTAAGCCTAAGCCTAACCTAAGCCTAAGCCTAAGCCTAAGCCTAAGCCTAAGCCTAAGCCTAAGCCTAAGCCTAAGCCTAAGCCTAAGCCTAAGCCTAAGCCTAAGCCCTAAGCCTAAGCCTAAGCCTAAGCCTAAGCCTAAGCCTAAGCCTAAGCCTAAGCCTAAGCCTAAGCCTAAGCCTAAGCCTAAGCCTAAGCCTAAGCCTAACCTAAGCCTAAGCCTAAGCCTAAGCCTAAGCCTAAGCCTAAGCTAAGCTGAGCCTAAGCATAATCCTAACCCAAGCCTAAGCCTAAGCCAAGCCTAAGCCAAGCCTAAGCCAAGCCTAAGCCAAGCCTAAGCTCGCTTAAAAACCGAATTCTTTAGACGGACAGCGCAAAGTCGAAAAGCCTTGGCACCGCCCCCACGGTCCGGGAGTGCGAAATAACGTCGTCTACGGCTACACGAAGGTCATCTTCCCTCCAAATCCCCAGATTCAACACAAATACGTCATCGAGGAGGCCAAACTGGCGTGGGCCGAGGAGGAGGCCATCTACCGGACGGCCGACACGCTCGAGCAGTACAAGGAAATGGTGCAGCCGAGAATGGATGCGCTGGCAGCGCGGTTCGAGGAAAGATGGGCCAGCATGGATCCGCCGATGGATAAGACGCCATTCCAGAGGACGGTGAAGGATGATGAGTTTCCGTATAGATGGCAGCAGAGGTGGGAAACGAGCAGAGATTCTTTGGGAAGGGCAGGCTAGCAGGGATGTTTGGGAAAAGGCAAGCTAGCAGATATTCTTTGGGAAGAGGCAGACTAGCAGAGACTGTTTAGGATAGGTTTTTCAGATACTTCACAAGTCTCCGCCACAGCCTCTACCGTACCTATTGCCGGGACCTATTCCCGGATCTGGTTGAGCCCAGCTTCAACCACCCCCAGATCCGCCCCTACTACCTGTGGGCCCAGCGGGCCGAGCGGTCCGTCTTCTACGCGTGCTCGTCGTACGATGAGTATTGGCCGAAAGTGCAGGACATTTATGCAAGGGTGAGTGGAGAGAGAGAGAAGGAGCGAGAGAGAGAGAGAGAGAGAAACTCGCCAACTTTTCCAGCAAATCCAGCGGCTCCAAGCGATGTGGGAAGAAAACAGAAAGAATGCCTGGAAGCGCGGCGTGTCTGAAGCCGACCGGAAACGGATTGTGGACGACGTCATCAGGGATGGAATCGCGAATGGGGTGCCGTGGGACGGTAAGAGTTTCGCAAAAAGTCTCTGCCAGTTTCCCTTTTCTTATGGATCACTGCTAGCTAGCGCTTTCTCTCTCTCTGTCTCTCGCTCTCTCTGTCTCTCTCTACCTCTCTATCTCTCGCCCTCTCTGTCTCGCTCTTGCTGTCTATCTCTCTCTATCGCTCTCTCTCCCCCTCTCTCTAGCTCTCTGTCTCGCTCTCGCTCTCTCTCTCTGTCTCTCTCGCTCTCTCTCGCTCTCATTCTCTCACTCTATTCCTCTTTTTTCAGGCGAATTCGCGATGTACCACCGTCGAGACGGGTACGCGTACGAGCAGCGCGTGTGGGACACCGCCGCCTCTAAGGAGGAGTACCAGCAAACAGTCCTCGACTACCTGACCGGACGCTCCACCAATGAGACCGGAACCTCTCAAGATCATCTACACGAGCCGGATGGCATGCTTGAAGACCTCGCCAACCTGTCCCCCGAAGACCGGCTGAAGGCCCTCGAAGCCAAGCTGGCCCGCGTCAAAAAGATGCGCGCCGAGATCAAGGCGGCCACCGACGCCCGCATGGCCAAGATCGAGGAGTTAAACAAGCGGGCGGCGATGCGAGCCCAAGTTTCGCCGAGTTTGGGCGGGGCTCAAGCAGCTCAGACCTCTTCTCAAGCGTCTCCGGGCCTTGCTCAAGTTCAAGGGGTTCAAGCCGAACAGGCCCGCCAAAGGCCCCAAGCCTCGGCAGGTCCAGATCAAACGCAACGAGTTCGAGAAGTGTCGCAAGTCTCACCAAGCCCGGCGCATGATCAAGGAGTTCAGGCCCGGCCTCAAGCTTCGCCGAGCTCAGCCCCAGCGCCACAAGCTCGTCCAGCTCAGCCCCAAGCTGAACCGGCTCGACCGAAAACTTCCAAATCCCTTGCCGAAGCCGTCAAGCGGGAGCTCAAGTCCTCAGCTGATGCTCAAGATGAAGTCGAAATCAAGGACGAAGCTATTGAGCGCCAAGCCCAAGCCGTTCAACGGAAGCGGAGGGCTCAAGTAGATGACCACCAAGCCCAAGCTGAACCCGGAAAGTCGATTTCCGGCAAGATCAACAAGGCTGGCTTGAGCTCCTCCAGCGGCCCCGACGACTTCAAGCCGGTGAAGCCCGAGAAGCTCGTCTACCAGAAGTATGTGGCACCCCAGAAAATGGCGAAAAACCTTGCGGCCATCCACGATCAGCCGGGCCCAAGTCGGATGGGCACGAAGTTGGAGGAGTTCGACCGGAAGCCGGAAATGGAACGCGATGAGGTCGAGCTCCCAGAAAATTCAGATTCTGAGGGCGAGGAGCCGGAGGAGGCTGTTTCAGCGAAAAAGAGCAAGAAGGCGCTGTGAAAATGGTCTCAAAAAAAGATAAAAATGCAAATATGCAAATTGATTTTTGTAAATAGCTTTTAATGCTGTCTGGATGTATTTTATTGTTTTAAAGGGGCCAGGTATTTCTTAAAGATTTTTAGGAAATGGCAAGCTAGCAGCGATTTTTTGGGAAAGGGCAGGCTAGCAGAGATTCTTTAGGAAAGAGCAAACTAGCAGGAATTCTTTAGGAACATACCTTGTCCCTTTAAAGCACAATTAGCATTTTCATATCAAAATTAATAGCATGAATTTCTTTGAATAGTTTGGTCGTCAATATTGTGATTATTTTGCATCCCAAAAAACCATTTTCGTGTAGCTAGCTGGTACCCTATTTTTTTTTAAATGCCATCTTTATGAACCCAATACCTACCCTAGGCAACCAATTCCTATCGAAGAAAATAATTTTTTTTGTGTCTTCTCCTTGCCGAAGTTTAAAGGGCTTGGGAAGTCAGGACATCACGGAAAATGACGATTTTTAAGCGAAGTTTTGACCTTTAAAAGCCCTTTAAAAGCCATTCACAACCCCAAAAACCTCAGCCGCATTAGAAAATGATCTGAAAAACCCCCACCAAAACCCAGGCGAACCAATTTACCGGAATAAATTTTCAGTTGGATGGTGGTGAAAAATGTAGAAAATACAAGAAAGAAAGAGAGCGAGAGAGAGAGAGAGAGAGAGAGAGAGAGAGAGAGCGAGAGAGAGAGAAGCGTTAAAGAGGGTTAGAGCGAGAGAAAGGAGCAGCGAGCGTGAGAGAGACGCAGAGAGAAGGAGAGAGAGACGGAAAAATAGCGAGAGAGTGCCAGCGAGAGAGACAGAGAGGGAAGGAGAGAGCGAGAGAGGGCTAGAGAAGGAGAGAGAGTGAGAGAGCGAGAGAGAGAGCGAGAAAATTCCCTAGTACTTATGCAAATTAACCAAACCCAATCCACCCACTTGTCTGCGTCTCGATCTCGTGGATTTTCTGGGGCCTACGCTGCAGATTCTCCAGCTTTGCGGCCATTTCCGAATTCCGTCCCTGGAGCCGTTGGTTCTCCTTCGCGATTGCTGCATTTTCCTAAGCTCATAAATTGGAGTGGGCAGGCTAGCTGAGATTCTTGCAGAACCCAGAGCTACTTTAAAGGGCCGTTGAAGGCAAATCCATAGCCCCTAGGCTCTTGGAAATCAGCCAATGAGCCCTTTAGCTGTTTCGGGACCCGTCTGGGAAGAAATAGCTGTGCCCGAGGCATTTTTTAGGATTTACAAAGAGAGGTACTGTAGCTGGGGCTGGCGGGGGCCCAAAATCGTGGAGGGGGGGGCTCGATGCCTTCGATGGTCCTTTAAATGGAACCGGCGGGTGTCCTTACCTGTCTACTGCGTGACAATTGGGTTTCCAGTCCCTTTAGGCGCTCGCTGAGCAGCTCGATTTGTTGGAGCTGCTGCTCGGCTGCAGATTTAGTGGAGCGGAGATCACGAAGTCTAAAAAAGTGCTTTAGGCAAGGGCAGGCTAGCAGAGATTCTTTAGGAAAGGGCAGGCTAGCAGAGATTCTTTAGGAAAGGGCAGGCTAGCAGAGACTCTAGGAAAGGGCAGGCTAGCAGAGATTCTTTAGAAAAACTTCTCCCGACCTCCTCTCCATTCGCTCCAACTCTGTTTGCCGACCAGCTTCCTCTCGTTTCATTTCTTCGATTCTTCTGTCACGTTTCTCGATCTGGCCCTTCAACTCGTCCTCCCTGTCCACAATTTCCTAAAAAAAAGGGTTACTGTAACTCGAAAAAGTTAAAATTAGTTTGAAAATTCGATTCACCTTGAGCCGCTTTTTCAAAATCACAATCGTCTGCTCGGCCTTCTTCTTTTCATGCCATTTTGCCACTTCTTCCTGAAAAATTGACTAGGCAGGCTAGCAGAGATTCTTTAGGAAAGGGCAGACTAACAGAGATTCTTTAGGAAAAGGCAGGCTAGCAGAGATTCTTAGCCCTACGGTAGCGTTCTTCCGTTCCTCCGAATTCTGCGTATTTCGAATCGTCTCGTTTTGGATGGCTACCGTCCGCTGTAGGGCCCGTGTCTCTCGTCTCAGCCTCTCGCATTCAGTCCGGAGCCTCGTTGTCTAAATTAAAGGTCCATTGAAGTCAAATCCATAGCCCAAGCCCTTTGGCCGTGGCAACCCACGCCCCCGGCCGTTGCGGGACCCGTCTGAACGAAGAACTTTGCCCTGAGGCATTTTTTGGTTTAGAGGGAGGGGTACTGTAGCTGTATTTGGCCAAGGGCCAAAAATTGCGAGGCTGGATTTGCCTTCAGCGGTCCTTTAAAGGACCATTGAAGTGACGGGGGGCTCACCTCAGCATCTCCCTGGGTGGCTAAGCGATTGCGCTTGGCTTCCAACTCCTGCAGAGCATCATCCCTGATTTTTTCGCAGGTGGCGAGGAGGTCCTGAAATAGAAAATGTCCTGATTTCCTAAGGAATCTCTGCTAGCCTAGCCTTTCCCAACGAATCCCTGCTAGCTCCATTACCTTATTTGCCGTCGTCAGCCGCCTTACACGCTCCTTTAACGTCCGGATCTCATTCTTGAACGGCAAAGTCGGGTCGGCGTACTCTCTGCTCGGGAATTCAGGTATCTATAAGTACAGTAAGCCCAGTGGTACAAAATGTGAGTTACGGTAGGCGTGGCGGGAGTCTCCTTGATCGCTTTTTCACTCGATTTTGTCGCTTCGTCTGTGGGGTTCGAGAACTGGACCGGCTCAGTCTGTTGGGAGGCCTGAAACTCAGAGTAAGCCTATGCCTAAGCCTAAGAAACCTAAGCCTTAGCCTAATCCTAAGCCTAAGCCTAAGCCTAAGCCTAAGCCTAAGCCTAAGCCTAAGCCTAAGCCTAAGCCTAAGCCTAAGCCTAAGCCTAGCCTAAGCCTAAGCCTAAGCCTAAGCCTAAGCCTAATCCTAAGCCTAAGCCTAAGCCTAAGCCTAAGCCTAAGCCTAAACCTAAGCCTAAGCCTAAGCAGACTAAAAACCCACACTCGCCACCCTGGTGCTCCGTCCGGTCCGTTCTCTCGCGAGCATGACGTTGGCCTGCTCGAGCTCCTCGACCTGAAAAATCCCAAATGACCGCTGCTAGCCTGCTCGCTCCTAAATCGTCTCTGCTAGCCTCGCTCACCAGATTTTGAAGCCGGATCGATTCTCCCAGAGCTTCATCCCGCTCCTTCTCCAGATTGTCGTTGACGGTAGAGATTTCTTTGAAGACCTCAACTTCTCGGATGACCTAAAAATACCAACATAGAAAGAGAGAGAGAGAGAGAGAGAGAGAGAGAGAGAGAGAGAGGGAGAGCTAGTTAGAGAAAGAGTGAGAGCGAGAAAGAGAGAGAGAGAGAGAGAGAGAGAAGAGAGATATGGAGAGAGAGCTAGAGAGAGAGAGAGAGAGAGCGAGAAAGAGACAGCCCGACTAACCTCTCTCGGCGGCTCTTCCATCCTCTCCTTCAGCAGCTTCTTGTAGTGCTCGATGGCTTCCTCCCTCTGCGCTAGCTGCTCCTGAAGAAAACGAATTTTTAAGGGCCATCGAAGCCAAATTCAGTCCCGCCCTTTCTGTTTTCGCCTTGATTTGCCTTCCACGTCCCTTTAAAGGACCCTAAAAGTAAAAAATGCCCCACCTTATAGGTCTGGATGCAAATCTGGGTGGCCTTCTTCATGCGCGCGAACTGCTCCTCGAACGGCTTGCGGTTGTCCTTGACGATGGTGCGGACGATCACCTGGAAAGAAATTTACGGTGCTTTTAAATGGTTTAAAGGCCCCGGGAAGGCAAATCCATAGCCTTAGTCGCTTCTTCGTCAACCGCCCCCCTTTAACCGTTCAGTGCCAAAAATCGAAGGGGCTGGCAAGGATTTGCCTTCAATAGTCCTTTAAAGGGAACGCGACAGCTCTGTTCCTGCCGGAAATGACAAACCTTTGGCCCGGCTTCACTATCAGCCCCGCTGTCTGTAGTCGATTCGCTTTCGTAGTCTTCTTGGTAGCCTTCTTCGGCTTCAGGCTGAAAAAGCAACACGGGGTAGCTAGCAGAGATTTTTTAGGAAAGGGCAGGCTAGCAGAGATTCTCTAAAAAAGCTTACCGATGCCACTTTCTCGATTTTCTCAATTTTCGTCACTCTCTTGGGCTTTTCCTCGGAGTCGAATTCCCTCCAAACGTCCCAAGAAATCAGGGCTTCAACGTGTTCCTAAATGTTCAAAAAATTTCCCGCTTTTTTCGCTTAGGAATCCCACCTTGACGACCTTGTTCAACTCCTCGCACTCCAGCGTCTTCTTCGAGAGGTCGGCTTCGAGTTTTTGGGTCTAAGGGGGAGTGAGCTAGAGAGAGAGAGAGAGATAGAGAAGAGAGAGAGAGAGAAAGAGAGATAGAGTGAGTGAGAGAGAAGGGTAGCTTACCAAAGCCTGGCTGACCCTCTGCTGCTCCCTCAGCTGCCCGACTTCAAGCAGGGCACCGTTCAGCGCCCGTTTCACCCGATTCGGATCATGGTTTTCGGCCTAAAAATTTACAAACCAAATTTTCCAAGTTTTCAATCTTACATCAGCAATTTCCTGCGTTTTTCTATTGGCTTCGATTGAGCGAAGCTGGCTTTCCACGTCAAGTCGGATTTTTTCCACCTAAAGTATGCTTTTTTTGCAATAAAACCTAGGACAGACTTGCAGAGATTCTTTAGGAAAGGGCAGGCTAGCAGAGATTCTTTAGGAAAGGGCAGGCTAGCAGAGATTCTTTAGGAAAGGGCAGGCTAGCAGAGATTCTTTAGGAAATCCAGCCAAGTTACCATCTGATCTATATAATCCTCAATCGCTGCATATTCCTCCATCGTCGACCAAAATATTCTCTCCACCTAATTTGCATGTTTTAAGCCCCGAAATTTTTTAGCCAAACCAAATTTTCCGCGTAATTTTCGATGGTGTTCATAGCCGGGATATTGAGGGGGCCGGAGCAGGAATTTCAGGTGCAAATAGCAATTATTCGGAATGGCCGACCCGGGGGGAAAAAGCGGCTTTTTCGTATCGGTGGGGAGCCCCGGGTGGGGGAGGCTAATTTTGCTGTCGCCTAGTAACTTTGAGATGTCAGAAAAGGGCCTGAAAAGGCCAAGACAAGGGCGAAAATAGACTGGTATTAGCCTAGGGAAATCGTTGAAAGTGCGAGCTGAATTGCCTAGCGTAATCGGATGGTATGGGCGGTTTTGGTGTGCTTTGGAAATAGCTCTGCTAGCTACCTCACCTTTTCCTGAAGAATCTCTGCCAGCTTGCCATTCCCTAAAGAATCTCTGCTAGCCTGCCCTTTCCTAAAGAATCTCTGCTAGCCTGCCCTTTCCTAAAGAATCTCTGCTAGCTTGCCATTTCCTAACAAGCGGAAACTCCTTACTCTCTCCGCCTTCTCCTGGCTCTCCTCATCTCTCATGATCAGCTCCCCGATTTTCGAGCGGAAAATCTCGATCTGGTCGAGCGTCAGCCCGTCGATACGGTTGTTTTTTTCCTTCTGAAAATACAGGTAAAAACAGAAATAAAAATGCTAAATGCTATGACGGCCAACCTGAAGTGTGGTTTGAAGCAACTGGACGGCATGCATCAGATGGCGTTTTTGGGCCTGCCATTGGCCTTGGGCTTTTTCGAATCGGCTGAAAAAATAGCTGTCGCTTTCTGTCTGTCTGTCTGTCTCTCTCTCTCTCTCGCTCTCTTCTCTTACTTAAAATGCTCATTCCCTCTCCGTTTCTCAGAATCCCTCTCCATCGCTTCTTCCGCTTGCTCGCGAATCGTTTGTAAAAGTCGACGCTCGATTTCACCTAAAAATTCAGATCAGGCAGCCCAGCAGAGATCATTTAGGAATTTTGGACCCGAAAAATTACCCAGGATCTCCCGCTGATCACTACGATTTTCCATATCCTCCAGGAAGCGCTTGATCTCCTCGTTTTCGAGCTGAAAAATGGAGCGGTTTCTCTCTCTCTCTCTCTCTCTCTCTCTCTCTCTCTCTCTTACCTGCAATATATCGCATTCCCGGCTCCAAAACTCGTTCTGGTCAGTGAGGATCTCGAGCATTTTCTGAAAGATTTTTGGCTTTGAATGATCCCTAAGGAACCTCTGCTAGCTTGCCCCCGCGCTTAGCTTTCTGCAAATGTCTCTGCTGGCTTGCCTATCCTTGGTCAAAGTCGGTTCCTCAAGGAGCGTTGCTTGCTTACCGAGAGCTGAAAAACGCGCTCCTACCGATCAAGGATCGCTGCTAGCATGCCAAATCCGAAAATCTGGCCCCTAAGAATCTCTGCTAGCTTGCCCGTTTTAGGGAGACTTTACCGGCAAAGCCTGGCTTAAAAAACCTGCCTTTGCCTTCCCGGTCTCATTAAACCCCGAAAATTACCTTTAGATATGCATTCCTGGCCAACAGCTCGTCGTACTCCTCTTTTTGATGTGTGGATGTGAGAGAAATTAGTGGCTGCTCGGTTACGGTAGTCTTAAAAATCCGAATAACCGACGTACAGTAGCCCTACCGTAGCCGCGGCACTTGGCCCAAAGGCGTCCGTCTTTAGTAGCGCGTCGTACTTGATGCGGAGCGTCTCGTAGTCGGCGAGGGGGACGCTGCGGAGAAGCTTTTCCATGAGACGAGCGGTCTCGATCGATGAGAGGTCCTGAATGGAAGTATTACGGTAGGGGGATATGTTAAGGAATCCCTGCTAGCCTGCCATTTCCTGAAGAATCTCTGCTAGCCTGCCCTCCCCTGAAAAAAATCTCTGCTACTCACCAAGTCATACTGCAGCCTGGCTACAGTCTTCTCCAGCCGGCTCCTCTCGTCGATCAGCTTGGATTTGAGGCGCATCACCTGCTCCTCAGAACGGTGCAATTTCCTGAAAGTCAAATGGTCTCTGCTAGCCAGCCCGTTCCCAAAAAATCGCTGCTAGCCTGCCTTGCCTTTTAAATCGATTCGAAGCTCGCTCAGCCCGCTTGGCCCTGACCCTTTCGGCCACCATTTTCCGCGACGTTTCCGCCATGCGGCGCTCGAGCTCGTCGCCGCCGAGTTCGATGGCGCGAAGCGCGTTCTGGAATTGGTGGGGTTACGGTAGTTGGGGCGTAACGAAACCTAGGCGAGCATCGACCACAAACCTCAATCTCGACTTTGGCGACTTCGCCGAGTTGGGCTTCATCATCCCCATTGTCGGCCTGGCGCTCCTTTTCGAGGTGTTCAATGTGTTTGTGGGCTAAAGTGGGGGTTGGTAGAGACAGTGAGAGAGAAGATGGAGAGGGAGAGAGGGAGAGCGAGAGAGAGAGGGAGAGAAAGGGAGAGAGAGATTTCCCACCCAATCCAAGCCGCTCGCAAGCCAAATCCAACGACCTTTTCGAAGCCGCCGTGGCGGTGGCCATTTGCTTCAAAATCTCGTCCTTCGCGTCCAATTCCTAAAGAATCTCTGCTAGACGGCCTTTCGAAATACCCACCGTCAACAGTTGCATCATCTCCTCATAAAGTGTGGCAATCAGAATCGCCTGTGTTTCCACATCGCCACGCTGCGAGTCTAGCAGCTGGGCGGCTTGGCGTTGACGGTGTTCTTTGGCTTTTTGGCCTGAAAAGAAGTGGTTTTAGTAGAGAGAGAAAGAGAGAGAGAGAGAGAGAGATAGAGAGAAATGGAGAGAGAGAGAGAGAACTGCCGCTACCTTGGCTCTTCCAGCCCTCTGCGCTCGGCTTGACGTCGTCTCTGGCCTCAGCGCGAAAATCCGGCTCTTCAGAGATTTTTGGGCTTTCTTGGGAGTCATGCTCTTCCTCAGCTTGCTGCTCCGCTTCGGCGTCTTCAGGGGGAGCTTCAGTTTTTTGGCCTTCAGGCTTGGGCCTTCGTCTTTTTGGTGGAGGTCCAAGTTCGGCGTATCGGCCGAGCTCAATCTGAAAGGGGCAGGCTAGCATAGATTCCTTAGGACAGGGCAGGCTAGCAGAAATTCTTTGTGAAAATAGTATTTTTTATTTCCAAAACCTCACTTGCAACATGGTGCTCTGCTTGACGAGCTTCTGAATTTGCTCGTCCCGGAAGCGAAGCTGTGTTTGCAGACGTTTCACCTCCTCGAGCTGATCGCCATATTTGAGCTACAAAAAATTGATTTGAAGCGAGAGAGAAAGAGAGAGAGAGAGAGAGAGCGAGTGAGAGAGAGTGAGAGAGAGAGGGGGTGAGAGAGAGGGACAGAGAGAGAGCGAGAGAGTGAGAGAGAGAAAGAGAAAACGAAAGAGCGAGAGAGAAAACCTACTTCCTGCAGCTTCTCGTGCTGCGCTGCCAGATCCGCATAGGCCGAGTCCTTGCCCTCGACTTGGGATAAGTTTTGTGCCAAGTCGGCCCGCGCCAGGGTTAGCTGAAAAGTTTAACTAATTCCAGAACCAAAATTTTGCCTCGTTTCTCGTATCTTCCAGCGATTTTTCGAGTTGGATGATGTGGAGCCTGAAAAAGAGTTGAAAACAACACCGTCACGAATCTCTGCTAGCCTGTCCTTTCCTAAAGAATCTTCGCTACATACCGTAGCTGCGTTGTCGGGTCGTTGCTACTCTCTGCATCCGTCCCAAACAATGACCGGGCCATCTTCGTGGCGGCAACGAGCTGGAGAAGTTTTTAAAGGGATAGTGCGGGCCAGAATTTTTCAGAAATCTAAGCCGAAGCCTTAGCGTTAGCCGAAGCCTAAGCCCCCAGCCTAAGCCTCCAAGCTGAAGCCAAGTCTAAGCTCAGTTTAAGCCTATTCCTAAGTTCAACCCTAAGCCTAAGTCAAAGCTAAGCCTAAGCCTCAGCCGAAGCCTAAGCACCTAAGCAACTCACCTCATCCCTAAGTCGCTCCAACTCCTGCTCCTTTTCCGCTGTCGTATCGGTCCGAATGTGAAGCCGAAGCTCCTGAAAATCAACTTGGATTTATCGCCCTGTTCCTCAAAGCTCCCTGCTAGCTTGCCTTCCCCCTTGCCTTCCTGGCCCCTTTAAACATCTTCTACCTGAATTTCCAGCAGCGAGCTCCCGAGCTTCTTGTTCAGCTCGGCAATCTCTTGGTTCTTCTTCTCGAGGGTGCTCTGGAAAGGTTTTTAGAAGGTCTTTGCCAGCATATCTTTTCCTAAAGAATCTCTGCTAGCTTGCCAGCCTACCGTACCTCGAAAAAGGAGCCCTTCTGGTGGGCCTCGCTGGTGTATTCGGAGAGGACGGCTTCTTTGTCGTTGAGCTGAAAAATCGATTGCAAGCCGAAGCCTAAGCTTAAGCCTAAGCCTAAATCCAACCTGGCTGTTAAGCATATCGATTTCCTTGGACAGCCCTACGATCCGTTGCTTGGAATTTTCGTAGATTTCGGTTAAGTTGGCGTACCTGAAAAAATTATGATAGGGATCTTCAAAGATTCTCTGCTAGCTGCCGGTTCCAAAAAGATCTCCGCTAGCCTGCCCTGGCCTCACTTTCTCCCAGTATCCTCGATCAGCTTCGTCGCCTGCTCCAGAGCAGCCGAAAGCCGAGTGATCTCCTCGCGCAGCTCGTCGTTTTGGGCGACGACCACCTGAGTTTGAGCGTTGAAGGGAGAGAGAGAGAAAGAGCGCCCGAGAGACAGAGAGAGAGAGAGAGAGAGAGAGAGAGAGAGAGAGAGCGAGAGAGTTCACCGACATGTATCTGCTCGGAGAGCTGGGCTGCTTGCTCGTTCCGCTGTCGCAATTTTCGCGTTTCCCAGTCCGTCCGTTCCTCGCTCTTTGACGATATTCTCCTGTTCATCTCTCGAATCGTGTCCTCCATTTGGGTGCGCTAAAATCAATATAAGCCTGAGCCTAAGCCTAAGCCCAAGCCTAAGCCTAAGCCTAAGCCTAAGCCTAAGCCTAAGCCTAAGCCTAAGCCTAAGCCTAAACCTAAGCCTAAGCCTAAGCCTAAGCCTAAGCCCAAGCCCAAGCCCAAGCCCAAGCAACGCCCTTCAGACCCACATTATATAGCAAAGTATCCCGCTCCCGTTGTAGGGCCTCGGTGCGCGCGACCAGGTTTTCAAATCTGAAATGTTTTTATTACTTATATAAAAGAACATTAAATTAATCGATTAACATCTAGTAAAGACTCTCTGCTAGCTTGCCTGGTCCTTTAGAAACCTCTAGTTCGCCCTAAAAATTCAAAAAAGTGTTTCCCCACCTATCCCGCTGGTCGGCAATCTCGCGATCGCGGTCCCGATTCTCCTGGCGCAGCTGCCGGTTTTCTTCCTAAACGTTTTAATAAAAGAGCCTGTAATTTGATGTATAACGTAAAAAATATCCCCCCTCACCTACCTTTAATGCGTCGACTTGGTTCTTCAGTGCATCGACGCCCTCGCCAAGGCCCTCGGCACCACCGGCTATTTTGTCGCGCAAGTCCTCGATTTCTTCCTGTATTTTAGTTTTTCGATTATTATGATTAAATTATTCAAAAGGAAGTAGCTAAAATATGCCACAATAAAAATAAAACTATATAAACCTTAAACTGCTGACGTTGCTCCTCCCATTGCGCTTCGCGCTCGGCCATCGCCACCGCTTCACCCTCGGCCACTTCCTAAACAGGAAAGCTCAGAAAAGCTAAGTAGAGATAGGCTAAGCCTACGCTAAGTCTAAGCTAAGCCTAAGCCTAACCTAAGCCAAATTTGCCTAAGCATACGCCTAAGCCGAGCCAAAGCTAAGCCTAAGCCAATCGAAAGCTCAGCTTAAGCCTAAGCCGAAGCCCATGCCCAAGCCAAAGCCTAAACCTAAGCTTAAGCCAAGCCTAAGCTAAGCCTAAGCCTAAACGAAGCTAAGCCTAATCCAGGCCAAAGCTAAGCCTAAGCCTAACTTCGTCACCTTCAACTCTTCTGCGGCGGCGAACGAGAAGTGGGCGACGGTCTTCATGGCGGCCAGCAGCGTGTCGAGCTCATGCTGAGTCTCCTTTCCATCGAGCTCGTACTATAAATCTATCTGTTATTTTGTTTAGATATTACCATTTTTAGGCGTATTATTGACTTTTATTTAGTTTTACCTCCGACAGCCGCTCGTACCAGAATTGGATCTGGTCAATGTCCTCTGTGCCGCGGTCCAAGAACTCCTCCAGCAACGTGAAGTTGATCGTCGACATTTTACAGGTTTTTGGGTTTAGATCACTGGCATTTGAGCTTAAACTGGATAGATTTAGATATATTTTTAAGATTAAGAAGTAAAGAAAGATAAAATGCAATTTTTTGCCACAGAAATTGATTTAAGTTAATCTTCGAGGAGCAAAAAATTTTTTAGACTTCCACGTAGCCGAATAATAATACCTACACTGATTTTACATTTTTCTTTCCTAAATATAACTTTTCCGTAGAAACGACTTCTTAAAAACGTAGTAAAATATGTAAAAATGCAAGATTTTCACGCTCTTAGGTCGAAAACTCGCGGTTTTATCCTAAAATTGCATTTTAAATAAAATAACTAAATTATGTACCCATACTAATAGCTAAAATTATGTGCATTTTGTATTTTTATCAAATATTCTATAAAAACATAACAAATTGCCAGCCGGCTGTCAAGAAAAATCGACAAAGCTCCGAGTTTTTAAAGGATTTTCGGTAAATTTGAGGCTATAGATAAGAAAAAAGTAGCGTTTTAGCTCATCGAATACTATTTAGATTCAATAAAGCATTTTCCAAAAGGAAATTGGTGCTGTTGGTGCCCGTTGACACCATTAGTTTCCCTGGGGGCCCAGGCGGTCACCTAGCAACGTTGACCCCTGGATTGGTCACTCGCCTGGGGCACCAACGCTAAACAGGTGATGAAGCCGAGTTGGCCTGAAGCCTGGCTTAGATTTTCGAAGTCAGTGGCTTAGAATCTTTAGCTTTCGAAGCTGCACTTCTTTCCATAAAAAAACGTTTTTACCAAAATTTCGATTTTTTGCAACATTTTTCAAGTTTTTGGATATTTTTTCTAGTTTGAATATAGTTATATATCACTAAAAACTATTAAAACGAGTCTATTAACTTACTAGACTGATACAAAGAAAGTTGGGTCCCCCGGAAATGCGAAAGAACCTGCTGAAGTTGTATTCTATTCATCGACGTAGCCAAACAATCAATGTGTACTCTGTAAAATCCCGCGAAATGCATGGCGCCCGCCAAAACCAGTGTAATTTATCAATGCGATGCGAGAACAAAGTGGCAAAGAAAACCTACATTTCGGGGGGAAATGTATAAATAATAAACGGGGGGAATGGGTTAATAGGTCACGGGGAAATTAAAGAACAACGGTGATGAGGAGGGTGAGAGGCGTGTTGTGGAAATTGGCGGGCCGGGCGGGTCGAGATCATGGCCGCTGGACGTGTGGGCTGCTTGATCTATTGGCGGGCGCCTCCGAGCTGCTCGGCGTAGACCTGTAAAAACAGATTAATAAGTTTCTAGCATAATCTTGCAAGACCCAAAGGACCTAAATCATGCCAGGCCAGCCTAATAAACGTTTTCTGGCTAGGTTTTGCAGGCCGAGCTCGAATTTCGCATTTTTAGGCGGCTACAAGGAGTCAAAAACGCTGAAAGATGTTTCCGGGACCAATTTTTTGTAGTTTTCAATGTAAAGTTACGTTTTTGTAGTCCAGAATTTTGAAATTCGAACTCGGTACACAAAACTAGTCGGGAAAACTGATTGTTAAGCCGGCAGCGCAGACAAGGGTTTTGCCACGGTGAATTAAAAAAAAATACCTCAATGACGTCGTCGTTTTCCATCTCCATACTCTTGGGCGTGTCCTCGTCGTTGATGCGGCGTCCGTCGAAGAGGAAGCTGAAAATGAGGGATTATAACAAAATCTAACAAAAAATAATCCTAAAGCCTATAACGCGACCTTTTAAAATTAAATATAAAAGCAAAAAAGCAAAATAAAAAACGTACCGCAATGAGTTAACGGCGGTGCCTGTCCGCTCGGCGTACGACTTCTTCAGCTTGGCCATCGACGTGCCGAACTTGACGCGGAAGTGGACCTCATTTGAATCTTGGCCGACGACCTTCAGCTTGATGTACTCCTTGTCGGCCTCCTCGGTCATTGTGGATGATGGCTTTTGCGTAGAGGTTTCTAAAATAAAAGTTGTAAACAATCAATGCAAAAGCTCGGGGGGCAAAAAAACGAATAAAAAACCATAAAACAAGGGGCAATCGTGGGCTAAAGAAATGAGGGCATTTGAAATGAAACATACATGACGCGCACCGAAAAGTGGGCGGGGCCTTGCGCGGGCGGTGGATGCACAGGTATTTGGGTGTATTGGAGCGCCGCGTAGCCGCCCATTTGTGCGGGAACACGAAATTCGATCGATAACCGAGAGGGCGCAGAGAAAGAGGGGGAAATATGTTGCGTAACTTGTTAAATTTCGCAAGGATTTCGAAAATGGTGACGCTAATACCAAATACAAAACGACTTGGGTTAGCAGAATAATAGAATATTGCAATTTTTTATAAAAATAAATTATCGAGTTTTATATATTAATAGTTTTTTGGAAATTTACTGGTTTCCAGGCGTTCCCTATCAATAACGATTGTTTTTGAACTAAATGTTCGTTTTTTTTTCTAAAACTACAAAAACATTTGTGTTTGTGGCGTGGTATTTTGTAGTTTGTAGTCTATAGCGCAGCACCAGTGGTCAATTTGATCGAAAAACATTTATTTTAATCCTTTATGGCTATTTTCAGTTAAAATTATCCGTCTTGCTGATGCACGTCTCCACTTTGCGGTCGATTTTCCGGCCGAACAGCTCGAACTTCTTCTGTTTTTGTTGGCAAATCTGGAAAAAGTTGTTGAAATTTGATAAAAGATCACCAGAAAAAAAACAAATAGTCAATAACCTACCGTATTCTTCGATTTGCCCATGATTTCCTGGCATTCGGCGGCTTGTAGGCAGTTGTAGAGCGTATTTTGCGAGTCGGTCATGTAGACGCTGGAGATGGCTTAGCTTAGGCTTAGGTTAAGCTAAGGTTAGGCTTCGCTTAGGCTTAGCACGCTTTTGCTATCGAAACTGTATTTTTAGGGTTACAAAAGCATTAAAAAAACAGCCCGCAACCTCTTCCCCAAAAAGCAAAAGATTTCTCCCCGGCCGGGAATTGAACCCGGGTCTCGCATGTGACAGACGCGGATACTAACCACTATACTACCGAGGACGCGAGGGCGGGGAGAGGAGGAAGGCCCTTGAAGGGTGGAGGGGGTTAGCTTAGGCTTAGCTTCGTATGTTCAAGACAAAAACCCACGTTTCCTTATGGCAACAGGCGCATTTATCGATCGTTTTCATCGGAATTTCGCCAATTTCCGTAGCGAGTCCAAGCGGACAGTGCAGCGCCGCCCCCGCGAAACTAATTAGCATAAATAAAGCGATAATCGATTTCATTGGCGAGTGGGAATTTCTGGGAAATACAGCGGGATGCGCTAAACAATCGCCAGTTTATCAATTTCCGGGTGTCTGTGTTATTTTCGGGAGGTCAGGGGCGTGGCTATAAATCAAAAACTTTTTTGCACAGAGAAGTTTTTTATAAGTCTAAAAATTCCTAACAATTCAATAAAAAGGATTTTAATGGTGTTTTTAGTAATATTTAACTATATTTAAGCTAGCAAAACTATCTAAAAACTTACAAAAAAAAAATCGAAATTTTGGTAAAAAATCGGCTTTTTTTGGTCGAAAAATCGATATTTTTGCATGTTTTTTAATACAAAATCGTAAAGTTTTCACCTTTAGAAATAGCAAAAAAAAACAATTAGGAACACTTCCACTATTTGTATCTGAAAAATTAGATCGAAAAAGTTGGTTTGGCCGAAAAGATGATACGTACAGAGTACTGTAGAGTAGCTTAAAACGATGCAATTCTTACCAGATGCTTTATCCGTCTACAATACATTGAGCATGACTAGAGGAGCACGAAAAACACGACGAAAGCATAAATAATTGAAAAATCGATGACACACAATTGTCATTTGGTGTTGAGCGGAAGGTTACTGTAGGTTACTGTAGCCTACTGTAGGAAAAATTATTGGAATTGCTGGTATTTGGCTGGGAGACCCTGATGCGAGCAAGTCACCGTCGTGCGGGCGGGGTACGGTAGCTGGGGCAGGGAATAGGAAATTTGGAAAAGCCACATGGAAAAATTCATGGAGCTACCGTACCCCAAAAATTTAAAAAATGACAATTACAAAACACACGCGTCGTGGGGGGTCCAGCTGTTTTTGGTGGGGGGGCGGGGCTTCAGTTCTGGGCGACCTCCTTGAGGATCTCGGGCGCGATGCTGGCAATCTGAAAATAGGTACGATAGCTGAAGTCTGTGTCCAAGCGTAAGCCGCAGCCTAAGACTAAGCCTAAGCAAGCCTAAGTCCAAGCCCAAGCTTAAGCCTAAGCCCAAGCCTAAGCCTAAGCCTAACCTAAGCCTAAGCCTAAGCCTAAGCCTAAGCCTAAGCCTAAGCCTAAGCCTAAGCCTAAGCCTAAGCCTAAGCCTAAGCCTAAGCCTAAGCCTAAGCCTAAGCCTGAGTGACCCACCGTAGCCAACATCTTTGCCGTCCCCTCGGCATTTGCGAGGTGTTCGGCCTGCTGGGCAAGCAGGGCCTCTCGTCCATAGCACGGGCCGTACGGCTTCATCATGGCGGCGGCGATAGCGGCTAGAAGTCGTGTTTTAAAGGGACGGCGACACTGGCAGAGATTCTTTAGGAAAGGGAGGCTAGCAGAGATTCTCTAGATTCCCACCTTTCTCGGCTTGTTCCTTCAGATTCGGCGTGCTTCCTCCGAGGCTCTTCGCCCTCTCCAGCCCTGGCCTACGGTCCGACACCTCTGGGCGGACTTCCTCCTTCTGCACGGCCGATTGGAGGGGCATAGATTTGCGCCTCTCCTTCTTCTTCTCCCTGGAAATTTGGGGGTTAAAGGGGCTGTGAAGGCAAATCCATAGCGTCTAGACCTCTCCAACCTCTCCTCATTTGAAGGTCGCGTTCTCATCCTCAGATATTCACTGAGCGCTTCCTGGGCTGCCTAAAAACGTCATTTTCCGGGGTTTCCTAAGGATCTCTGCTAGCCTGCCCTTTCCTGAAGAATCTCTGCTAACTTGCCCTGGTAACCACCGACCTGTAGAACCTGGGGATCCGAGCAGCACAGCTTGAGCACGCCGTCCTGCGTCGTCTCGATGGAGATGTCCTGCTGGCCGCCCTCTTCCTCATCTTCTGACGACTCGTCGTCGCCTCCAGATGGCGAGCCAGTTGAGATGGAATTTCCGATCCCCATCCCGAGAAGAGCGGCTGCTTCTGGCTAGAATTAGGCGGTGCTAGAGAGCGAGAGAGAGAGAGAGATAGAGAGAGAGAGAGAGAGAATAGAGACAGCTCATGCTCACCCTGACTGGACTCGTGTTCCTCCTGATCGTGTCCTCCACCAGCTGCTTGGCGTGCTCGATGGCGTCGGTGGTCGAGGCGGTGATGGTCAGCGTTCGTTCTCGCGCCTTTGGGTCGACCTTTTGGAAGGAGATGACCGTGTTGGTGATCTGCTCGACAAGTGCGACGCGACGGCCCTGAAATTGTTGTAGATTTTCCCAAAGAATCCCTGCTAGCCCGCCTTTTCTAAAGAATCACTGCCAGCTGCCCACCTTGACACCCATAATCTTCCCCGAATCCGCGTTCCTGATCACCATCTCGTGGCGCAGCTGCATGGGCTTGGTGACGGCCGGCTAAAACGCTGTGTCACCCTGCCTTTAAAGCCTGACCTTCTTGAGCTGCTTGTTCCGCAGCAATACTTCTGCCGCCGCGGCAGCGGCGGCATTTTGATGATTCTGAAGGGCGGAGGCGAAGAGAGGTTGTTGGAGAAGGCCGGGGAGGAGCGGGTTGACGAAGCCGCCTGGGACTGAAGTTGATGGTTGAAATGTTAAGTTAGAGCCCAAGCTTTAGCCCTATCCTCGCCTAAGCATCAACCTATGCCTAAGCCTAATACCAAGCATATACCTAAGCCAATCCCAAGCCTAAGCCTAAGCCCAAGCCTAAGCCTAAGCCTAAGCTAAGCCTAAGCTAAGCCTAAGCTAAGCCTAAGCTAAGCCTAAGCTAAGCCTAAGCTAAGCCTAAGCTAAGCCTAAGCTAAGCCTAAGCTAAGCCTAAGCTAAGCCTAAGCTGCTCCGCCAACCCAAAGCTAAGCCTAAGCTAAGCCTAAGCTAAGCCTAAGCTAAGCCTAAGCTAAGCCTAAGCCTAACCAACAACAAACCTGCCGCCGGGATCAAGAAGTACGGGCTAGTGGTGTGGGATTGGCTTTGTTGCATTTCCGGTAGAAATAGGGAGGGGGAGAAGGTGGGCGCCTGCTGGAATTGCATCGGCATCGGGGAGGAGCTGCCGAAGCTGCCGGTCGATTCGGCTGAAATGGTGATCATCCAAGGTGAAAATTTCTTCAAGGATCTCTGCTAGCCTGTCCTTTCCTAAAAAAACTCTGCTAGCTACCTTGCTCCGGACGGTTCACATAGTATTGGGAGTGGGCCAGGTTGCTGCGCCAATGCATCGCGCGCAGCTCCACGAGCTCCATGATCTGGAAATGGTCTTTCTCTCTCGCTCGCTCTCTCTCATCTCTCTTTCTCATCCCTCTCTCTCGCTCTCTCTGTCGCTCTCCCTCTCTCGCTCTCGCTCTCTCTCACCTTCAGTCGGCAAGGTGTGCCCAGCTGGCCATGATCCCGGCAACAAGCCTGGCGCAAGGAGACGAACACCTTGTTGAGCTCGCCTGAAAAAATGTTTAAAGGACCGTTGCAGGCAAATCCATAGTCTTTAGACGCTTTGGAATGAGCCAACCGACCCTTCTAGCCATTGCGGGATTCGCTTTAAATGAAAAAACAGCACCCAGAGGCATTTTTTTAGATTTACAATCAGGGGTACTGTAACTGGGGTTCGCTTAACACAAAAATCCAGGGCCTCGATTCTGCCTTCAACGGCCCTTGAAACCCGCCTTTATGCGTTTGTTCGAGGGTGGCGCCGTGCTGCTTCAGCTGCTGGCACAGCTGGAATATGGCGTTGGCCAGCTGCTGCGTGAAGTGGCCGCCCTTCACCAGCCCGTTCACCGCCTCCATCAGCTGGACGATTTGGTCTGGAAATTTAGGTTGAATTTAGTTCGTCAATGAACTCTGCTAGCCTGCCTTTTCCAAAAGAATCTCTGCTAGCCTGCCCTTTCCCCAATAATCTCTGCTAGCCCTCCCCGAAAAAGCACCAAAATTGGGCAGGTCGTCGTTGTCGGAGTCGGGGGTGATAGATCCCAGCCAGCTATGTCTGCTGATCCGGTCCATCGTATCGATCGTCCAGGGTAGCTTGTCGTAGTCGTAATAGTACGGTAGGTACGGTGTATTGCTTCGTACTTTCGATTCGAAAGGGTACGGTATCCGTAATTAGTACGGCTCCGTAGTCGTTAATAGTACAGGAGTGTACTTTTTAGTCGCTAGCTACGGTAGTTCGTCAATAGTACAGTTCCGTAGTCGTCTTCAAGCGGAAACTATCGTAGTCAAGGGCAGCGTATCGTCTCGTAGTCAGCAGGAGAGTATCGTCGCTTGGTCGATCGTCAAGCGTAGTGTAGCGTATCGCAACGTAGTCAGTACGTCAGCGTACTGTCGCGGAAAGTTTCAGACAGTTTGTATGGGTACGGTAGCTTACTGTGGCGTACCGTGAAACGCAATTCGGAAATTATCGTAGCCGGGGAGGTGCGGTAGTTATGAAAAAATACGTCCAAAGGGAATACCGTAACCGCCAGGGGTTCGGAAATCGCTGGTTCGATCGGGGAGTGGCCCGAGTGGCTGAGCTTTTGATAGGCGGGCCCGAGCGCGCGATCGAAGCAAGAGAGATAGAGAGATAGGGAGAGTGAGGGAGAAAGAGAGAGAGAGAGAGAGAGAGAGAGAGAGAGAGAGAGGGAGAGAGAGATTTGGGCCCTTGTATCTGATTACACGGGCGGGTGCAGGATGAGAGGACCCGCGCCTCGTGACACCGCGCTGTAGGAACATCATCAAAGGGGAGCGCGAGTTGGGGAATTCGGTAAAGAATCTCTGCTAGCCTGCCCTTTCCTAAAGCATCTCTGCTAGCCTGCCCTTTCCTAAAGAATCTCTGCTAGCCTGCCCCGACCTACCATAATTGCAAAAAAGTGGGTTGTTCTGGGGCGCGGGCGCGGCTGGCCGTCCCAGTCGTTTGTCGTTCGTTTCGAAGTGGCCGAGCATCTGGAAAAAACCTTGATTTTAGGCATAATCAAAATGACATGACAATTTTAAAGGAAAACGAATTTCAAGCTCAAAACTCCGAAAAGAATCTCTGCTAGCCTGCCTCATACAAGAAAAAACGTCTTACCATGCTTTAAGCGAGTGTGTAGTGTGAAGAAGAGGTGGACGAGAAGCTAAAAACATTAAAATAACGCTTCAAAGAAAGGGATATTCTTACCAATTTAGAAATAGAAAAATGGAGCCGATATGTTGTGAAATTCCCAGCGTTTTTCCAGGGCCGGGAGGTCGATTTGGGTGATCTGGAAACGGGGCGGATTAGGAACAGATGCTGGGAACTTAATTTCATTGCTGCTATACACCAAAAACATCTTAATATTCAAATTTTAACTTGTTTTATTTTCTTTTGATTGCTCCCTGTCTCTTCCTGTATCTCTCCAGCTCTCTCTCTTATCTCTCTCTCTTATCTCTCTCTTATCTCTCTCTCTCTCTCTCTCTCTCTCTCTCTGTCTCTGTCTCTGTCTCTCTCTCTGTCCTTACTGTCTCTCGCTCTCTCTGGCTCCGGCTCAGTCATTCGCTCGCTCCCCGCTCTCTCTCTCTCTCTCTCTCTCTCTCTCTCTCTCCATCTCTCTCTCTCGGTCTCTGCACTTCTCTATCTATCGCTTCTCCGGCAAGCTAGCAGAGAGCTTTGCGGAATTCAGATGCTCATTGGTAAAAACCCTTTCCTAAAGAATCCCTGCTAGCCTACCTTCCCAGCCCCTTTAATGCGCTTCAACCCCCATCCCTGGCCCCCGGGTGACCGGCCGGTATTTTTGGTAAGGCTTGCTTGTGTGTGTTTGACAGAAGGGGGGCAGGGAGGACAGCAGAAGAAGCTGATGAGAGCAGCAAGGAGAAGATTTGGAAAGGGGAAACATGGGCAAACACAACGCACGGCTACTATCAACCCCCACTGGGTGACCGGGGGAGCAGCGGACAGTCACCCGGGGGTTCGATGGATTCAGGGGAATGCGAAGGCTGGATTCCACTCGGAAATCCGGACAGGTGAAAAACCGGACCGTCAAAATACCGGCAAGCTAAGGCCAGACAGGAAAAATGCCGACAGAAAATGCCGACAGCGGAAATCCCGACAAGCTAAACACATACACCGAAAATCTCGACAACGAAGACCCTGACTGATCAAAATCTCGGCAGGAAAATACCGACAGCGAAAATCCCGACAGTGATAATCCTGTGAGACCAAAATTCCGGCATGAAAAATGCCGACAACCAAAATCCGGTCAGAAAAATGCCGACAACGCGATTCCCGACAGGGATGATCCCGACAGCCAAAATCCCGACACCTTAAATCCGGGCCGCCAAAAAAACGGCCAAACCGTCAAAAATACCGACAGCGAGAATACCGACAGCGAGAACCCCGACAGGAAAAATACCGACAGCGATGACTGTCGGGATTTTCAAGAAAACCTATTTTTTTTGCCTTTTTGCTAATTCGTCATTCCTCCCCAGTTCAGCCCAGCGACAAGTTTGCGGTTTTCGGGAACGGAAAAGGCCCGCCGGGGCTTTGGACACCGGAGACGCCGGCCATCCGGTCCACGGCTTGGCCGACTCGAGAAACAGCTGTTCATCATCATCCCCCATCTCCGCCAAAATGCCCTCCGGGCACAAATCGCCTCTCACGGCACTTGGCGAAAAAGTTAAAAGGGTTGTAAATGGTTTTAAAGGGACTGTGAAGAGAGAGCGAGAGAGAGAGAGACTGAGACAGAGTGAGAGAGAGAGAGAGAGAGAGAGAGAGAGAGGGAGCGACACATAGAGAGAGAAATTTTTGGAATGTATTTTTTGGACAGGGATTTTTGGGGAGCATCACGTTACCTCAATTTTCGTGGTAGTTCGCTAAATTACATGGTAGAATCGTCGGAAATAAATAAACCGAAATTGGCGATAATACGGCCCCATCGATATGGCTATACCCCCCGACGGGCTGAAGCAGCTTATGCAAATTACCTGTTCGACGGTGGGCGCCGAATACGCTGCGGAGGGGCGAGGGAGTGGAGGGAAAGGAGAGAATTTAGAGAAAAAGAGACAGAGGGAATCGTTCGGAGGATCTGAAAGGAAAAATGAGGATTGCGTGAAGATGGAAAAAAAATTGAGAACACAAAATCGAGGCAGGCAAGCTAGCAGAGATTCTTTAGGAAAGGGCAGCTAGCAGAGATTCTTTGGGAAAGTCCTAGTAGCAGTTATTCTGGATCTGAGTGCATCTACACCAATGAATCGGCTAGACAATAGCGATAGAGAGAGAGAGAGTGAGATTGAGAGCGAGAGGAGCGAGAGAAGAGAGAGCTAGAGAGCGAGAGCGAGAGAGAAAAAAAGAGAGGGCGGGGGAGAGAGCCCATAACCAAATCACCAAAAACCGCAATTTCTGATGCCTGTGCGCGTAAGTGCGTTGTGTTCCGGAACATTTCTTGCTGCAGCCTTTCGCGTCTTGCCGCAGACGGCTTGAGGGGCGAGAGAGTGAGAGAGCTGAGAGAAAGAGAGTAGAAAATAGGGCGATATAAGCCAAGGAAAGAGAGCAGGGATAGGTGAGAAATGGCCGTGTTACGAGGCGGGGAGGGCCCTGTGGCCCCTCCCCTCCAATCGGGGGCTTTTCCGTCAATGTCCGGTGAACGGAAATACGTTACACACCCCCGGATCCGATCGGACAGCACATAAATTTAGGCTCGTCTTTCTTATGGGTCAACCGCAAGTCAGTGGGGAGCGTTTTTTGTGGTGATCGGATTCTGGACTTTTAGCGGGGGGGAACCAAATTTTCTTGGGTGCTTCTCAGAGGCCTTATAACCAAATATAAGCCATTTTTATAGCATTTTACATAGTTTTTAGATATAAAAACGACCTAAAAAATTTTTTGAAAATTTTTGACTTTTGTTTAAAAATGTATGGAAAATGATCAAAAAAAGGCAAAAAAAAATGACGAGAAGGAAAAAGCCAGGTACAAAACGTACAAAACGTAGTCCGAAGCCTAAAGCAACGTCAACGGCGTTCAGAAACGTACTAATAGCAATCAATAGCTGACCAGGCCGCCCTCCAGGCAGCCCCCGAACTGCCAATCCATCATCCGAGGCGTCAAAATTTTGAACCGGCTGAAGCTCGGGATCCCTTGGATCGGTTTGAAAAAACAAGGACACAGTGAGCGAGAGAGAGAGAGAGAGAGAGAGAGAGAGAGAGGGAGGGAGGGGGGGGGGGGGGGGGGGGGGGGGGGGAACGAGGGAAAGAAAGAATGATCGGAATTTACACCCAAGTAAAGATGAAATCAGAATCCGAAAGGATCATTGCTAGTCTAAGCCTAAGCTAAGCCTAAGCCTGAACCTAAGCCTAAGCCTAAGCCTAAGCCTAAGCCTAAGCCTAAGCCTAAGCCTAAGCCTAAGCCTAAGCCTACGCTAGGCCGAAGCTTAAGTCTATCCCAAGGACGAACCTAAACCGAAGCCTAAGCCTAAACCCAAGCCTAAGCTAAGCCAAAGCCTAGGCCTAAGGCCTGAAATTGTGTGGATACTCCCAAACTTCCCTATTACTCTGTCATTCCCAAATCATCTCTGCTAGCGTGCCTTTAAATTGTGGCTAAAGTCTGCAATGTTTCGTCTTTATACCGGTAACGCATCACGGAAACCAAATTTCATCATAAATAAATAAAAAACCGGTTGTAAATATATGTAATTCCCGCTACACGTAGCTATAATCATACAGCCGGTGGCTCTGCCCGTCTTCGCGTATATATTCTCGGGTGATGACGCCGGGAGGGGCGAGTGGATCAGCAAGGTCGATGGCGCGCCAATCCATACCATTTTCCTGGAAAAAAATAGTTCTCAAAGAATCTCTGCTAGCCTTCCCTTTGCTTAAGAATTTCTGCTAGCCTCCCCTTTGCTTAAGAATTTCTGCTAGCCTCCCCTTTCCTTAAGAATCTCTGCTAGCCTGCCTGCAAAAACTTACAGCCGTCTGCCTCAGTTGCTGATAGAAATCCTCGACATCCTGTTGCTTACTCCGTTTCTGTACGGAAATGACGAGGTGGGCCTGGGTTGGCTCGACGTTTTTGGCCTTCATTGCCTAAATTATAGGAATTCCCAAAAAATCGCTGCTAGCTTGCGCTTTCCTAAAGAATCTCTGCTAGCTGACCTCGATTGATTCGGCGACGAACACCTTGCCGACGCTGGCGCCCTCGCGCAGTGCGTCCATCATGTGGCCTGAAAAGGGAGTTGGAGAGAGGGAAGGGAGAGCGAGAGAGAGAGAGAGAGAGAGTGAGAGAGAGAGAGAGAGAGAGAGAGAGAGAGAGCCATAATTCCCAACCTGTTAGCGACTCCCCAATCTGGAACATTGGCACCCCCGCGGGACCCTTCTCCCCTTCCGCCTTCCGCTTCTTCGGCCCGTCCAGGATGAACATCTTCTGCTCCTTGTTGGCCAGCTCGTGCTCGCTCAACTTGGCCCTCGGCTGGTGGGCCCATTGCTCTGGCCAACGGGGCTGCGACTCAAAAATGTCGAGCTGAGCCTCCTCTTTCTTGGTGGGCGATTTTGGCTTCGCGGTGGACTGAAAAATCGGCATAGCAGAGATTCTATAGGAAGGGCAGTCTAGCAGAGGCTCTTTAGGAAAAACATCTTACCGGCTTCTTCTTCTTCTTCGGCGCCGGCTTGTGCAGCTCGGCCGTGTTCTCGGCCAGCATTTGGGTGAAGCTTGGCCGCCTCCCTTCTTCCGTACCCAGCGGACTGCTCGTGCTCGTGCTCGTGCTCGCTCCGCATTTGCTACTCCCGGTGCTGGGCAGCGGTTTTTGGGGAAGGTCCTGGAATTCAAGCGGGTTTTTGGATTTTATTGTCTATTTTTCTCAAAGATTTTCTGCTAGCCTGCCCTTTCCTAAAGAATCTCTGCTAGCACCCCTACCTTAAAAACCGACGATGCTGGCTTCTTCAAGAACCGAATCTGCGGTGGCGGCTTTATCGGCGACGACGGCGTCGTCGGCGACTTGGTCACGTCGCCGGCTGGTGTGTGCATGCTCTCAGAATCCGACATTTCCGTCTTTATCGTAGCCAACGGGGCGGTTTCCGTCTTTTCCGGCTCCTCGGCAATCTCCAGCGGCCCCTCTTCCGGAAATTCATAGATCGGACCGGGTTTCTGAACGTCTTGACCCTGCGGAGCTGCTGCCCTTTGAAGATTTGGGGACTGTGGCTCCTCCTTGACGGTGACGTGGTCGGACTGTACGGCCAGGTCCTCTTGACGCGGCACATTTGGAGATTTTGGCTCTTGCTTCACCACGGGCGGCGTCAAGTTGGACGAGTTCGACAAGTTCACGGGCTCGGCCGCTTGAGTCCGCCCCAAAATTAGCGGTTTCACCTCCTGGGCTTGAACGACGGAAGTTTGCGCGCCCAAAATTAGCGGCTTCGCCTCGTGCGGCTGAACGGCTTGAGCCTGTCCGCCCAAGATCAACATCTTCGGCTGCAGCTGGTCAGGGCCGGCCGTGCTCGGGGCGGCTTGCAGGGTCTTGAAGTCAAAGTGCGCCGGCAGCTGGACAGGCTTCAGGAGCTTGGCCTGCTCCTGGGTCACCTGCAGCTTGATCGGGGCCCCGGCGGCCGTGGTCTGGGGGAGGAGCACGAGTTTTGGGGCTCCATTTCCGGTTGGGGTCGGCTTGGGCAGGATGGTCGGGGTTTTTTCTGGACTCCTTGATGACGTCGGGGCATCGGAGAGGAGGATTTTTGCGGCGACTGCTGGTGGCTCGAGATGGCGCGGCGTCGTGAGGACTGAAACGGAAGGATATCGTCAAGAATGTTGGCTAGCTCGTCCTTTCTTAAAGAATCTCTGCTAGCCTGCCCTTTCCTAAAGAATCTCTGCTAGCCTGCCATTTCCTGAAGAATCTCTGCTAGACCCACCCAAATTCGTGGTAGGCGCCGGGCGCTCCGCAGCTACGGCTGGCGGCTGCGGCTTGATCTTTTGCTGATGAGATGCATCCGGTTGGCCGGCGTGTTGACACACAGCCTGTAACCAACAGCATCTACACCCTCCCTTTAAAGCCACCTGCGAAGGCGCTGTTTCGGCCAAATTTTTGGCTTCCGGCAGCTTCACTTGGGCCGGGATGGCGAAGGGTCTCGGCGCGATCTTGGGGAATTCTTTGACAAGGAATTTGGCGGGTCTTCCGGTTTTCTGAAATTGGTCTCTTTAGGACAAAACAGGCTAGCAGAGATTCTTCAGGAAAGGGCAGGCTAGCAGAGATCATTTGGCAGGTCTCACCGGGTTGATGACTTCCTTATAATTTGCATCCGGTCGAGCGTCCACAGGTGTAGGTTGTAGCTTCACAGGCAGCGCTGCTGGCGGCGGGGTTGGTGGTGGTTCGGCCGCCGGCGCAGGCTCCGGTTTTGCCGGTCTTTCCGGTTCCGGCTTCTCCGGTTTTTCCGGCGAGACGGGTTCCTGGAAATGGTGGTGAAAGCGAGAGAGAGCGAGAGAGACAGAGACAGAGACAGAGAGAGAGAGAGAGAGAGAGAGAGAGAGAGAGAGAGAGAGAGGATGAGTTACCTCCTTGACCAGCGGCGCTTCCGGAACCTCCGGAACCTTTTGGGCCGGCTTGTCCTCCGGAGCTGGGGTTTCCGTTTTCACGCGAGAGCCAGTCGCTTTTGGCGTTGCCGCTTTCTCCGAGGGCGGCGAGGCCGTGGAGGAGGTCGGTGATGTCTAGAAAAGGCGGACTAGCAGAGATTCTTTAGGAACTGGCAGGCTAGCAGAGATTCCTGCGGAAAGCGGACTCACCGCTTTTGGCGGTCGACCCCTCCCTCGCTTCGGTGGAGTCGGTATCTTCTCCTCCTCCTTGATCTCCTTCTTTTTCCCCAGCTCCCCGGCGTCGATGGACTAAAAGTGGGATCATTTAACGTAGCCGAAAAACGTGCCTTCTTCTTTCCCCGACCTCGCCCTGTAGAAGTTGTCGGCTGCTCTTCCTCGGGCTCTGGTTCTAAATGTACTTTTTCTCGAGGAACCACGGCTAGCTGCTTTTTCTTAAACAATCTCTGCTTGCATACCTGGCTCATCTTCCTCATCGTCTGATCCGTCTTTGGTACTCCGTCGTTTCCGTCCGCTTCCGCTCGAGTCGCGCTTCTTGCCTTCCTAAACTTTTACGTTTTTCGGGCTAAGGCTTAGCTTAGGCTTAGGCTTAGCTTAGGCCTAGGCTTTGGCTTAGAATAAGCTTAGGATCAGGCTTAGCTTAGCTTAGGCTTAGGCTTAGGCTGAGGCTTGGCTTAGCTCAGACTTAGGCTTACCTGCTGCTCCTCGTGAAAAATGTCGAAAAGCGTGGGGTCGAGAATGTTCTTCGTCGGCTCCCAGGTGTTTGCCCTGAATTTTTTTAGGCGTTCAAATCATAAAATTCGGTCGAAATTTCCTTTAAATTACGAAATTTCACGAAATACTTGCAAAAACGAATTACGTTAAATTTTTTTACGAAATTTCCTTTGATTTTTGATTTTTCTAGGCTCAAAAAGCATCTTGAAAGACTCTAAAAAAACTCCAAAAAACCCACGAGTCCGGCCAGCCGACCCATTTCACCAGGTATTCGCGTTTTCCCTAAATTACATCAAAAAGTTTCAAAATGGTGTTTTTCAAAAACCCACCTTCCGCATGCGCATCTTGACGATGCGCTCCACGCTGAACACGTCGTCTTTTGGCATTTTCTGGAAAAATATTAAGTGTTTTTTGAGGTAACAGAGATTCTTTAGGAAGAGTAGGCTAGCAGAAATCCTTTAGGAAAGGGCAGGCTAGCAGAGATTCTTTAGGAAAGGGCAGGCTAGCAGAGATTCTTTAGGAAAGGGCAGGTTAGCAGCGATTCTTTAGGAATGGGCAGGCTAGCAGAGATTCTTTAGGAAAGGGCAGGCTAGCAGCGATTCTTTAGGAAAGGGCAGGCTAGCAGAGATTCTTTAGGAAAGGGCAGGTTAGCAGCGATTCTTTAGGAATGGGCAGGCTAGCAGAGATTCTTTAGGAAAGGGCAGGTTAGCAGCGATTCTTTAGGAAAGGGCAGGCTAGCAGAGATTCTTTAGGAAAGGGCAGGCTAGCAGAGATTCTTTAGGAAAGGGCATACTAGCAGATAAACCGAATTCCATTTGAAAATCGGGCGACTGGGCGACACCCTAGGGGTTGCATTACGACAGGGAAATACGCCGATGGGGCAGGCTACGGGTCGATAGGAGTGAAGGGAATGGCAGCAGCCCTGAGGGAATAGCGCTACGGTAACAATTTTAAAAATTTGTATCTTCAAAAAACAGTCTTTTTTCGCGCCGTTGCACTTTAACGTAATCTTTTAACATTGAATATTAAGGAAATATGGATTTTTGAGCCCGCTGGGTGATGGAAATCTGCTAAATTCCCGGTATAGATTTTTATAGGTCAAAAAAATTATATTTTAAACAGCGTATCAGCTACAGTTTTTCATGTTTTGTTCGGCTGTGTTGTCAAGATACAATGATTATCGTTGAATCTTCGATAAGAAACCGATGGTTCTTAGCTGTTGGTTGGAGGCGTTGACGTTTATATGTGAATTTTTCTGTACACAGAGAGAGAGAGAGCGAGAGAGAGAGAGAGAGAGAGAGAGAGAGAAAGAAAGAGAGAGCTAGAGAGAGATGTACGCATTTCAGGGTGTATTTTCATTTATTAGCGCATTAATTCCCGTATTGGCCTGGATGAGATCGGTCATCTAGTAGCGGTAGGGCCTGGAGCGGTAGTTGTTGCCGCCGAACTGGGGTCCTCCGGCGCCTCCGAATTGGTCGAATTGCCCGGGGCCACCCTGGAAGCCTCCCGGTCCACCGGGGAATCCACCGGGGCCACCGGGTCCGAATCCGGGTCCGCCTCCGACTCCTGAAAACATAAATATATTGCATGCTCCTGAAGAATCTCTGCTAGTCTGCCCATTCCTAATGAATCTCGGCTCTTATGACCTAATCAACGATTTTGCAATAAATCTACCGTAGCTGGATCCACCGTATCCGCCTCCGCAGAGCACGACGGCGACGAGGGCGAGCAGTACGAGGAAGAAACGCATGGCTAGGCTGAAATAAGGGTTACCTTGGTGGCACCGATGAGACAATGAGAAAGATGTGAGAGCGAGAGAGAGAGAGAGAGAGAGAGAGATAGAGAGAGAGAGAAATGGCTGATTCGCAGCCAAACAAGTATAGACAATCAACCCTACAGTAATCCCGCCGCACCGGGTTGTAAGAAAATTTCCCCGAAATCCCATCCCTCCCCTTTTATACCCGACCGAAGTTGACCCGATAAAGTGAGAAAATGCACTTTTTTGGGTGGGATACGCCTCTGGGAAGAGGGGCAACCCGGAAATCTCAATCCATAAAAAGAGGGTGACCCCGTTGTGCTCCAATTTCACGGGGAAATCGAGAGATTAATGGGGGGAACGATGTAATTCTCGGTGAGGACCGGCTAGCAGAGATTCTTTAGGAAACCGCAGCCTATCTGTGATTCTTTAGGGACATCTCTCTCTCGATCATCTGGCCATCTATCTCTCGCCCTCTCGGCCTTCTACTCCCATCGGCAATATCTCTCTCTCTCTACCCAACGTCATCAAGGTCATATCAAACCCCAAGGGGGGGCTAGCAGAGATCGGTCTCTAGAAATCGCAGGCTCGCGATTCTCTCAGGAAACCGCAACATATCTCTCTCTCTCTCTGTCGCTCTCCCTCTCTCTCTCTCTTTTATCTCTCTCTCTCTCTCGCCGCTACTAAAATCCCGTACAACCAAATCTTCCTCTTAAATGTACATTCCACCTCGTGCGCCCCAATCTGGGTCATTTCCGAAAGCCCACAAAAACGGCTTTATCAGTGAGAACGAGGAGCCAACGGAAAATGGGTCAAACTTTTTCCACTGACCGGAGGAGAAGACGAACCTCAAAGGCCCGGGAAATCGAAAGTGGTTTTGGAAAGATAACAAAGCGTTAAATCAAGAAAAATCCAGAAAATAAAAATACATTAAATTAAATTTAGAAACATAGTTAAAATTCCATTTAAAATTCGAGCTCGGCTTTGGTGAGGGCGCGCTTCTCGCACGTCTTGCCGGCCGAGCACCAGTAACCGGCCGGGCAGCAGTAGCCGTGGCAGCAAGTACCCTGTAAAATGGAAATAAAATTTGGTGAAGCGTCTCTGCTAGCCTGCCCTTTCCCTAAAGAATCTGTGCTAGCCTGCCCTTTCCTAAAGAATCTCTGCCAGCCTGCCCCTTCCTAAAGAATCTCTGCTAGCCTGCCCCTTCCTAAAGAATCCCTGCTAGCTGACTTACATGAGCCAGCGGGCAGCAACTGAACGTCTTCTGGCCGAAAAGCCCTCGGGTTGCGCAGCAGGTTGACCCTGATGGGCATCTAACCATTCCACAGATCACGGCATCGTCTTCTTGCTAAAAGCGAGAGAATGTAGAAGAGAGAGAGAGAGAGTGAGCGAGCGAGAGAGAGAGGGAGAGAGAGAAAGAGAGAGAGAGAGAGAGAGCGAGCAACCTCACCTCATCCGAAATTGTCTCCGACGAGTCCTCGATCAGGTCCTTGCTGAACTTGATGCCGGGCTTCCGGCGGATCGGGGTTGAGGGGAATTTTGTGAACCACGGCGTCACATGGTTTGTCTGAAATTAGAATAGTGAGAGAGAGAGAGAGAGAGAGAGAGAGAGAGAGAGAGAGAGAGCTGGATAGAACTCGATCCAAACTCCTAACCTCGTCCTGAATACAGCGCTGGCCGCTGGAGTCGCAGCGAGTCCCATCCGGGCAGCAATGCATCCTAAAAAATCTCTGCTAGCTTGCCTTCTTCAAAATTTCCCAAAAAATCTCTGCTAGCCTGCCCTTCGAATTACCCACCTATCCTCACAGCAGACAGCCTTGGGCAGCGGGCAGCACCCATATCCGCCCATGGACATCAGACAGCACGTGGTGCCTGGAATTAATGTTTTTTTCAGGAATCTCTGCCAGCCTGCCCTTTCCTAAAGAGCCTCTGCTAGCATGCCCTTAAAAACTGACCACTCGGGCACTTTGACTTCTTGTCGGCACACTCCACTTCCAGCTTAACGTCGTGCTTCTGGCTGGCTTTCTTCTTTTGGAGCGGGAGCCGGTGGCCGGAGGCGTGATTGCAGCTAGAGATTTAGGGATGAATAGAGAGGGAGAGAGAGAGAGAGAGAGAGAGAGAGAGAGAGAGAGAGAGCGAGAGAGAACCAAACTTACGTGCCCTCCTCGACGTCGCAGGTGGTACCATGGGGACAGCAGTGGATCTTGTCCTCGCAGCAGACGGCGTTTCTGGAAATGTGAATTTTTGAAGGGGCAGGCTAGCAGAGATTCTTTAGGAAATGGCAGGCTAGCAGATGTCATTTAAGAATCCTACTTCATCGGACAGCATCCATAATCTCCCTGCGGCGTCTGGCAGCACGTCGCGTCCTCGTCCTGGCAACGGTACCGCGGGTCCGAGCAGATCGGACCCTCTTGGGGCAGAAATACGTTACGGTAGCTCTTAAAAGATAAAGTTATTTTGATTACGACATGAGAATCCGGATGGTGGTGATTTTAAAGAGTTTGACTTACCGTAGCCCCCGCAGAAACGGCGAACAAGATTAAAAGAAGGTTTCGCATCGCCCTTGAAAAACCTCATAAATCACCAAGTGCATTTTTTAAAAAAAGCATAGCGAGAAAATGTACGATTAAAGATCGACAAATTCTCAAATTCTACCCCTAATATTGACTGGGTCTCGACACTACGCGCGGCACCAAATGACGTTCAAAACACGTCGGTTTAATGCGACCAAAACGACTGTCGAGATAAATTTATCGGCTTGATAAATACGAATAAAGGCAATTTACGCATAAAAACCGTAAATAGACGTAGTTCGTAGCCTGCAGTTCGATTATTGCCGTGAAAAGGGACGGAAGCCGAAGCCTACGCCTAAGCCTAAGCTGCAAAAAATAAGCCTAAGCCCGACCTAAGCCTAAGCCTAAGCCTAAGTCTAAGCCTAAGCCTAAGCCTAAGTCTAAGTCTAAGCCTAAGCCTAAGCCTAAGCCTAAGCCTAAGCCTAAGCCCAATCCTAAGCTTAAGCTTAAGCCCAAGTCCAAGCCCAAGCCCAAGCCAAAGCCAAAGCCAAGCTAACTAAGGCTGAATCTCATAGGTTAAAAATCCTTTAGAAATATGCTAACCCTTCCGGCAATTCGGCCAGAAAACAGGAGCGAACCGCTGGCGGGCCCAGCCAGATGCCCGCCGCCCCCCTTGATTGATAGGCCAAAAATGATAACGAGTTTTATGAGGGAGGTACACAGAGGGGGGAACACTGCCCGGAATCGATACCCTAATTTTGGCGCCATTAGCTAGACGGGCAGCTGGACTTTGTGGGGAGGGGGAAGCTAGCAGAGATTCTGTAGGAAAGGGCCAGCTAGCAGAAATTGTTTAGTAAACGGCAGATTAGCAGAGATTCTTTAGAAAACGGCAGGCTAGCAGAGATTCTTTAGGAAAGGGCAGGCTAGCAGAGATTCTTTAGGTAAGGGCAGGCTAGCAGAAATCTTGAGGAAGTGTGGTCTTGTTTTTTCCGTTCAAGCGCCTTTAATATGTGATTTTCGACCGTTAAAAAGCTTAAATATTTATGTTCTCCCTCATCTCCTTGGCGGCTGGAATAGCAGCCGTAAATTCCGGTCGTTTTTCTTGTCCAGGGCGGCGCCGACGTAAAGAGGAGCCTCCTGGCCTGGCAGCTCCATCAGCAGCCCGATGCCGTGACCTGAAATTGACAAAGGGTCTCTGCTGGCCTGCCCTTTCCTAAAGCAAGCGAACTGTGCTAGCCTGCCCGGGGCTAAGGAATCTTTGCTAGTTTGCCCTTCCGAAGCAACTGCCTACCTGTTTTTGAGCGAACCTTCGTCGATGATGCGATGTCGCCCTAGAATTCGGTGTATTTTTAGCGAGAGAGAGAGAGAGAGAGAGAGAGAGAGAGAGAGAGAGGGAGAGAGGGAGAAAGCAACCCACCAACTGCACCAATTTCTCGTGCAACGGCGCCGAGCCCTGGGCCACCGTCTCGGTTTGTAGCTCATAGTATTCCATTAGTGCACGTTCGCATTTTGCCTCGTCTTCGGTACGACAGATATGTTGGGCTTTGCGGAGAGCAGCTTCTGGAGTTTGGTCAGCTGCTGTGCCTTCGAGGCCGTGCTCCCATCTCCTGAAGATGCCGGGTTTTTGGGGCAGGCTGGCACAGATTCTTCAGGAAGATGCGACTCACCTCTCCGTTACCACCTGTACATTAATCGGATCGGCAGCGAACGGATTCCGGAGGTAGACACCGTCGATATTACGGTAATTGTCCTGAAATTGGTGGTATTGCGCTCTCTCTCTCTCTCTCTCTATCTCTCTCGCTCTCACCCTAACAGCCGCTCCTCCTCTCCACCATTGTCCAGTTTCCGGAAGCCTCCACTGCCCGTCCATTCCCGTGTCATGAGAGCTGTAGTGGTAGATGCCCTTCGGCAGCTTGAGCTTCTGCCCGTCGGCGTCCATCTGGAAAGATTCTTTAGGAAAGGGCAGGCTAGCAGAGATTCTCGAGGAAGGGCAGCCTGGTAGAGACCCTTTAAGCTACCTGAACGTACGGCTCGGCGTCGGACTCCTTTCGTGCCGTGCCAAAGGCGAAGGCCATTCCGTCGGTTTGGACGTCCATCTAAAAAAGGGTCACGATGTTTTCAAAAATCTCCGCTAGCTTGCCCGGTTCTGGACTGTTAGCGGGGGCCCGGTTTAGCGGGGAGCGACGCCAAATTTTTGGCTATATTTCTCTACGGCCCTGTAGCAAAATATAAAACATTTTTGTAGCATTTTACATAGTTTTTCGATATAAAAAAAATCTAAAAAATAATAAAAATGTCAAAAATTTTGATTTTGGTCAATGCATGAAAAATGACCAAAAAAGGCCAAATTTTTCGAATTTTCAAAATAAAAAAATATTTTTATAACATTCTAGCCATCAAAAACTACTAAAAACTATAAAAATACATACTATATCAGCAACTGGAGGTATAGGTGGAAAAAACAGCAAATTATCCCCCCGCTAACAGTCCAGTACCGCCTGCCCTACCTCCGGATTTTCCAGCAACCGTCCCCTCATCGGCAGCGCTTCTTCCGCATCGCCCGCTTCCTCACCCCCAAAACCCGGGCTCAACGCATTAATAGGCGGTAGTACGGCTAGAATTATAAAAATAATCAACCGTCTGCTCATTCGATAGAGTGATTGATTGATGCCGAGTTGATAGATGAACTCCATCTAAAAATAGGGCACACTTTCACCCACCGACCCTTGGGGGGTGAGAAACAGGAAATCGGAGCGCTGATTGGCGGCAGGGGGTCATTTGGGGTTGATGAAATTTGTAGATGGCAAAGTAGGCTTAGCTTAGGCTTAGGCTTGGGCTTGGGCTTAGGCTTAGGCTTATCTTAGGCTTAGGCTTAGCTTAGGCTTAGGCTTAGGCTTAGCTTAGGCTTAGGCTTAGGCTTAGGCTTAGGCTTAGGCTTAGGCTTAGGCTTAGGCTTAGGCTTAGGCTTAGCTTAGGCTTGGGCCTAGGCTTGGCCTACAGACTGCAAAAACAAAACTCGCACCGTTATCTGGCCTTCGGGAGAAGGGATGGGGGTGTTGCTCCCGAGCTCCAACTCTCAGAAAATTGAAAAGGCTCTGAACTGCCGCGTCCCTTCTCTCTCTCTCTCTCTCTCTCTCTCTCTCTCTTTCTTTTCGCGCTTCCCCCTTCCGCACTATTTGAATCCTCCTTGCATTCCATATTTGCATACCCAGAAAACCGGCGGATCCTGGAAATTCGATGAGTCGTCTCTATCTTGTGATTTTGATCCGAGATGCAGCTGCTTCCTCTCATCCTACTGCTACCCGGAATTTCCTGGTAACAATTGAGCCACAACCTCTAACGAGCAATGCCAGGGCCTTCGACTGGGAGTACGGGTCGTGGCTCGACTCCGATGAGGGCGTCTTCCAGATCGATCCGACCAAGTGGAAGACGGGTAGGTGACTAAGGGATCTCTACATACTAGCCTGCCGTTTCCTAAAGAATCTCTGCTAGCTTGCCGTTTTCAGGGCACCCCGGCTACTTTCATCCGGACGTCTTCCTGCCCCACCGCAGCAACTCGATCCACGCCTGCAGTGACTTCTATCGTCATGTGGGGGTTTTAAGAGGCTCAATAAGCGAAGCTGATATGGCCTAAGCCTAAGCCTAAGCCTAAGCCTAAGCCTAAGCCTAAGCCTAAGCCTAAGCCTAAGCCTAAGCCTAAGCCCAAGCCCAGGCCAAGCCTAAGCCTAAGCGAAGCCTAAGTCTAGCCTCGCCTAAGCCCAAGCGAAGCCAACCTAAGCCTAAGCCTAAGCCTAAGCCTAAGCCCAAGCCTAAGCCCAAGCAAAGCCTAAGCCTAAGCCTAAGCCTAAGCCTAAGCCTAAGCCTAAGCCTAAGCCTAAGCCTAAGCCTAAGCCTAGGCCTAAGCCTAAGCCTAAGCGTAAGCCTAAGCCTAAGCCTAAGCCTAAGCCCAAGCGTAAGCCTAAGCCTAAGCCTAAGCCTAAGCCTAAGCCTAAGCCTAAGCCTAAGCCCAAGCGTAAGCCTAAGCCTAAGCCTAAGCCTAAGCCTAAGCCTAAGCCTAAGCCTAAGCCTAAGCCTAAGCCTAAGCCTAAATCCGAGACGATTTCCTGATTTTCCCCGTTTAGGTCTGCCCCTATGGATCGATTGCGGCTCGTGACTCGATGCTGGGTTATATGAAAGGAGTCATGAAAGTAAGGCAGGGAAACTAGCAGCGATTCTTTAGGAAAGGGCAGGCTAGCAGAGATTCTTTGCTGCCTTGCCCTCTATTAATGTGCCTAGGCATTTCGGGACGCCGGACTACCCTCCTTCAAGGCCCAAGTCATGATCGTGACCGATGACGCGTTAGAAAATGTACGGGCTGAAGAGCCGGGTTTTTGATGCACTTTAGCTGCCGACCAAAGTGAAGCTCGATGAGATGTTCAACCAGATCATGACCATCCTCGGCGGCGCCATCGGCGCGTACAAGGACGTCGCTGAGGTAAGTGTGGGGGACTACGAGAGAGAGAGAGGGAGAGAGAGCGAGAGAGAGAGAGAGAGAAGAGAGAGAAAGGAGAGAAAGAGAGAGAGAGAGCGAGAGAGAGAAAGAGTGAGAGAGAGAGAGCGAATGAGAGAAAGATAGAGAAAGAGAGAGTGAGGGAGAGAAAGAGAGAGAGAGAGAGAGAGAAAGAGAGAGAAAGAGAGCAAGAGAGAGGTTAACCTGCCTTTTTCAGTTCATCCCGAAGATTCACGCGCTCCGCGACTACTCTGCCTATCTTTATGGGATACAGTAAAATTTTGCGGGCTTCAGGAAAATTTGGAGTTCAGGGCCCTCAACAAGCTCCCACTAACCGCCAACCCAAAGTTGGCCACGGTGGCAAAAATGGTGGTTGATGAGGTGACGCCCCGGGACACCTTCAACTTCAACGCGGTCGGTTTCGGAAGCGGCAGGCTAGCAGAGATTCTTTAGGAAAGGGCAGGCTAGCAGAGATTCTTTAGGAAACGGGAGGCTAGCAGTGATTTTTTAGGAAAGGGCAGGCTAGCAGTGATTCTTTGGGAAAGGGCAGAAAAATGTCAGAAAAATAAAACCGTGGATTTTCAGGTGGATCAGCTCGCCTTCTACAACGAGTTCATCGCCGAGAAGCTGCGCAAGGTGAGAAGATGCGCAAGCCTAAGCCTACGCCTAAGCCAAATCTAAGCCTAAGCCTGAACCTAAGCATCCCATTCCAGTACGGCAACAACTCCGCAGCCGCCCCTCGCCTGGCGCAGAACTACGCCCGTTTCATGGCGATATACAACCTGTACTTAAGGTAGTGGACTTGAGAATCCTCCTCAAAACTTGTTCAGCAAGTTCCCCTTCTACAATGCGGAGGACCGGCGGCTGAAGCAGACGACGGTTCAGCTGGCGGCGATGCGGCTGACGATCGAGCTGTTCAGGCAGAAGGCCGACGAAGACCGGGGCGGACAGCCGGCGGTGGGTAGCAGAGATTCTTTAGGAAGGGGCGGGCTAGCAGAGATTCTTTAGGAAAGGAATAAAAGCCTTTTCAGCGCGACCCGAAGGAGAACTTTGGCCTCGACTGGTTCGACGAGATCCCCACCCAGTTCATGGCGCCGAAGTACTACCCTAAAGCCGAGTCCGAGCGCCTCTTCGGCCAGCAGTATCGGAACGACTATTGGGACGCATCGAAATGCAAGTTCTCTCTCTCTCTCTCCCTCTCTCTCTCGCTCTCTCTGTCTCTATCCCTCTCTCGCTCTCTCTCCCTCTCACAATCTTGAACTTTTAGTGAAACTCGGCAAGCGCTCGCACGTCAAGGATACGGGATTTATGGTAATTTTAGACGCATTAAAGGGACCGGCAAGGCATGGATCAACTAGAAAAAGACCTTCAAAAAAGTCTAAATTTTGGTAAAAAAATTGGACATTTGGTCGATAATCGACATTTTTGGCATTTTTTTATACAAATTTGTAAAGTTGTCACGTTTAGGACTAGAAAAATAGAGAAAAAATTTATATTTGCAAATTATATCCTTAGAAAAAAGTTGGTCCCCCCGATAATGCGAAAGCACCGAAACAGACAAATCTCCAACCTGTCCAGGACGCCGTCCTGTTCGCCATCGGCGGGGACCACGCGGAGTCGGTGCCGATGTCGGCCGTGGTACGTCGGCATTTTTCTTGATCCACTCCATTTGAACCTACAGTTCGGCTCGGCCGGGTACGACGTGGCGGCGCAGATGCTCGTGCGTGCGCAGCGCTTCTGGATGAACCTTCAACGCTGCCCCACCTACATCCAGTACGCCCTGGATCTGTGCTCGATGACCGGAGAGGTGGGAAAAGGCCGGAATACCGACAACCGTAATCCGGCAAGCCAAAATCCCGACAGCCCCAAAATCCCGACAACCGTAATATCGACAGCACAAGCATCCAGACAGCCCACAAAACGAAAATCTGCGGAATACCCGAGCCCGAAAATCCCGAAAGCCGACATAATGCCGACACCCATAATTTCTGTTAGCTTTTCCCGTGCTACTTGGATCCTCAATCGTCTCTGCTAGCTTGCCCTTGTAGGATAGCTGCGAGCCGACGACGAGCGACACCCACCTGACGCTGCTCACCAACTCAGTGAACTTGGCGCTCAGGGCCTGGAAGAAGTATCAGGAGTCAAGTATCGATAAGGTGAGAGAGAGAGAGAGAGTGAGAGAGAGAGAGAGAGAGAGAGAGAGGGAGAGAGAGAGAAAGTGATGGTGAGAAAGCGAGAGCGAGCGCGAGAGAGGAGAGAGGAGAGCGAGAGAGAGGAGAGAGAGGCGAGAACGAGAGAGAGAGAGAGCGAGGGCAGAGAGAGAGAGAGAGAGATAGAGAGAGAGAGAAGAGAGGGGAGGAGGCGCGCGGAAGATATCCCACGACTCCAGGATGCCGACCCGGCATTCCCCACGAAAGACGGATTTCCTGGCATCCCGCCGGAGCAGCTCTTCTACTACGCGTACGCCTCGAAGAATTGCATGCGCGTGCTGGAGAGCTCGCCGACGTAAGCGGAAATTTTACCTTTTTGCTTACCTACTTTTTTACCTATTTTACCTACCTTTTTGAGGAACACCGAAGCGGTCAACCAGGCGTGGCCCCGCGCAGCGGCAGTGCAACGCGCCCCTCTCCCAACTCGCCAACTTCACCCAGGCCTTCCATTGCAGCGAGGGGGACAACATGATGTTCCAGGTGGGCGGGCTAGCAGAGGTTCTTTGGGAAAGGGCAGGCTAGCACAGAAGTCTTTCGGAACAGCCTTCAATTTCCACCCTTCAGGAGAACGAGTGCAACAGCCTGGCGCCCTAGACGGTGCTCCCCTACCGTACCCACCAGCCTGCCAGCAATACAGTATCCCACCGCCACAAAGCCGTTTCTGTTTTTTCATGCTGTTGTGATGGGGTGGTGGTCATGAGACCGGTGAATAAATATTTTTTCCGAGGCTTTCCGGTGATGTTTGTGAATTTTTAAATGATCTCTGCCAGCCTGCCCTTTCCTAAAGATTCTCTGCTAGCCTGCCCTTTCCTAAAGAATCTCTGCTAGCCTGCCCTTTCCTAAAGAATCTCTGCTAGTCTGCCCTTTCCTAAAGAATTTCTGCTAGCCTCCCCTTTCCTAAAGCATCTCTGCCAGCCTGCCCTTTCCTCAAGAATTTCTGCTAGCCTGCCCCTTTCCTAACGAAGTCTGCTAGCCTGCCCTATCCTCAAGAATCTCTGCTAGCCGTCCCGTTCCTAAAGAATCTCTGCTAGCCTGCTTGTCCCTATTTTCCAAAAAGCCCGGCCTGCTGGGTGGTGAGGACTGTGTATTTGTTCGAGCGATGCTTTGTGTGCGGTCTCCCTTTCTGCTTCTCTCTCCCTCTCTCCATCCCCACTCTCTCTCCTCCCTCCCTGCCCTCTCCCCCCTTCCCCCACTCTCTTCTCCCTGTCTGACCCCTCCGGGCAGGCTGACCTCCTTCTGGACTGCGGCCAACTACCCTGCGACCGTGGCCGACACGGCTTTTAACTTTTAGAATTAAGGTTATCGGTGGATTTTAACGTGATTAAATATATTATTATTCAGGTCATTTAAAAAAGAAAACGATGAATTTTGGCCTTGAAAATCCATTGATTTTAGGAATTGGGATTTTTTACCTTTCTCTTTTACCGGAAGTGACTTTTCACTTTTAGGAGTTTTTGTTATACGGATTTAAAATAGAGATGTTAAGAATCAATTAACAATCAAGATTATTTGCATACATTGGCACAATATTATTTTATTTGGATGGGGCTGAGCGCATGACCAAGTAAAATAATATTATTTGACTCCGCTCGAGAAAGAGCCAAGTAAGATTACTTGATTTAATTGATTTACTTGATCAAACAATAGCTTTCTGGAATTCTGGCATTTTCGGATGGTAATGAACTTTATGACATGATCGCATGCTAATTTACTGGGTTCGCGGCACGATTGCCTGATTTGCATTGCGAATTTGCACAAAATCAAGTAATTTCGCCGAAAATCAAGTATAAGTAAATTTTATATTTACTTGAAGATTTCAGATGCAAATAAAGTTGTTCAAGTAAATTTACTTGGTCATTATATTACTTGATTCGTAACATCTCTAATTTAAAACAGTTTTTATAATTATTTCGGTTATAAAGCTTTGAGAATCGAAATATAAGTCGATTGGCAACGTTTGGCCTTGGAAATCGATTGTTTTGGTTCCAAATGCGTTTTTTTTCGAAAATCGCCGTAAGTTCACGAAATTCACTGAAATTTTTCGCTGCTTTCAATTTTTTGTAGTTTTTTTTGTGATTTTGTCACCAAAAATGGGTGTTTGGCCCAATCCTAATGTCCTAATCTCTTTAAAAAAGCCTCGAAAACACTATGCTAAAAAAATGCAAAAATTAGAAAACCGGGGTTTTGAAGCCGTTTTTCTTGAACAATTTTTAATGTTAACTTTGATTATTTCAATTTGTTGCAGGCTTGCTTCTATCATCAAAAATTGAATCGCAACTTTAGACGGAAACGTAAGGCGGGACTCCAGGAGGCCGTGCCAGCTGGGAGAAGTTTGGTAAGTCCAAAAAAAGGGAGTTACGAGCAGTGTTTCGCTGTGTAAATTAATCTAATAAAATTAGAACCTAAGAAACAACATATTTAAGAAAATAGGCTCAATTTATAGTTACGGCTAGGGGGAAAGACAATAATTACAAGATATCTCCCGTTCCCAAAGAACCTCTGCTAGCCTGCCCTTTTCTAAATCATCTCTGCTAGCCTGCCCCTTCCTAAAGAATCTCTGCTCGCCCGCCCTTTTCTAAAAACCTCTGCTCGCCTGCCCTTTCCTTAAAAATATCTGCTAGCCTGCCCTTTCCCAAAGAGTCTCTGCTCGCCTGCCCTTTCCTAAAAAATCTCTGCTAGCCTGCCCTTTCCTAAAGAATCGTAACAAATCGTAACACCCCAATTATCCGGGCGGCCGACACGCTTCGGGCGTGTTTTTGAAAAATGGGCAACAGCTGGGGGGCATGTTTCATGACGCGTGCCCCGGGCGAACAGGCCCTGCAGTACGTAGTACACCCAAAAAAACGGCCGGCCCGGCGAGCTATTTTGCCCCCCGAGGCGCCTGTGTCCCACCGCGAAAGCTGACACCTTCCTCGTTTTCCGAAGCAAATTTTGTCCGAATTCCTTTGCTGACGATGTGCGTCCGTCAAAGAAGCCTAAGCTTAAGCCTAAGCCAGGTCTAAGCCTAGGCCCAAGCCTAAGCCTAAGCCTAAGCCTAAGCCTAAGCCTAAGCCTAAGCCTAAGCCTAAGCCAAAGCCTAAGCCTAAGCCTAAGCCTAAGCCTAAGCCTAAGCCTAAGCCTAAGCCTAAGCCTAAGCCTAAGCCTAAGCCTAAGCCTAAGCCTAAGCCTAAGCCAAACCTAAGCTTGCCTCAAGCCTAAGCCTAAGCCTGTTTTTGCCTTACCAGACCCTTTAACCCCTCTCTATGCAAATCAGCTTCTCCCCAGAGTTCCCGATCCCCATGCGCGATCCATTTCCAATCCCCGCACCCCGGAACGATCCAATCAGCCGGCCAGCGCTGGGCGTCGCGGCATTTCGTCCGTTTTTTGCCCCTCTCCCTCTCTCTCTCTCTCTCTCCCTCTCTCTCTCTCTCTCTCTCTCTCGCTTGTAACACGAATAACCACCGCGCTTAGCACCGGGTTTTACTGCCCGCAACGCCCACGGCTTCGTCCCGGCGTCCGTTTATAAGGTTCTATCGTAATTTTAGATATATTGAATGCCAAAAATCTGAAAATTTGCTGGCACGTTCCCTTTAAAAGGGGTGTCCATTTTTATAAGCCGATATCACATCGTGCGGTGTTTGCGGGCCGGCTGAGTCATACCTCTGGATGGGATGGGTTTGCTAGTTCAACTCCGGTTTTTAGGAAACGTCAGGAAGGGGCAGGCCAGCAGTGATTCTATAAGAATGGGCAGGCTAACAGATCTTCTTTAGTAATGGGCAGGCTAGCAGAGATTCTTTAGGAAAGGGCAGGCTAGCAGAGATTCTTTAGGAAATGGCCCGCTAGCAGAGATTCTTTAGGAAAGGGCAGGCAGCAGAGATTCTTTAGGAATGGCCCGTAGAGAGATTCTTTAGGAAAGGGCAGGCTAGCAGAGATTCTTTAGGAAAGGGCAGGCTAGCGAGATTCTTTAGGAAATGGCCCCAGCAGAGATTCTTTAGGAAAGGGCAGGCTAGCAGAGATTCTTTAGGAAATGGCCCGCTAGCAGAGATTCTTTAGGAAAGGGCAGGCTAGCAGAGATTCGTTAGGAATGGGCAGGCTAGCAGAGATTCTTTAGGAAAGGGCAGGCTAGCAGAGATTCTTTAGTAAGGGGCAGGCAAGCAGAGATTCTTTAGGAAAGGGCAGGCTAGCAGAGGTTCTTTCCAGCCATCCCCGAAAGCCAGACCAACTGTTTGTAAACTACTAGTCCTCGAAATTTGATACCCCGGGCTATATTTAGATTTTTTACGCTATTTTCAGCTTCCCGAAAACCAGTCCTCTGCAATACCCCTTCCTAAAGAATCTCTGCTACCCTGCCCTTTCCCCACTATTCGCCAAAACAAATTCCCGGAATTCCCTATATTTTCCCGGTTTTATGAATGGGCCCATTGTGCGTGCTGGTTGTTGCTTATCGATGATGGGGCGCCGGTGGCTCCCCGTAGCTCAGAGACATAATATCGAAAAATGGTTAAAAAGTGTTTGAGCTTCAGTTTTAAACCTTTTTTATACAGTTTGATACAAAATATAGTCAGAATTAACTTTCTGCAGAAAACTGTACCAATTTTGATAAGGCAACTTGCCAAATTCTGACTCAGACATTGACTTCATTTTCAAAAAGTTTGAAGAAAGAGCGAGAGGGGAGAGAGAGAGAGAGAGAGAGAGAGAGAGGGCGAGAGAGAGTGAGAGAGAGCGATAGAGAAAGGATGTGAGAGAGAGGAAGTGTGAGAAGAGGAGAGAGAGAAAGTGAGAGAGAGTGAGAGAGAGTGAGAGAGAGACAGAGAAAGAGAGAGAGAGAGAGAGAGAGAGAGAGAGAGAGAGAGAGAGAGAGAGAGAGAGAGAGAGAGAGAGAGAGAGAGAGAGAGAGGATTCTGACTCGTCCCAAGCCGCTTCATCTCTTTGTTCAGCTTATCAGTCACGCAAATCTCTGTTTTCCAGCGAAAGTTTCGACTTTCGAGACCCAGTCGCTGCCCTTTCCTAAAGAATCTCTGCTAGCCCCCAGCCTGCCCCTTTTAGGGCGCCCCTAAACTTTTGCAACCCGTTAATTACCTTCCCCACCCTACCGAAATCGTATAACCCCGCCAGGGTTTAACCTAGATTTGGCCGATCTTTCTTCCTGAATTGGGCCGAAAATCCAAACACCCAGAGCTATATTTTGCCTTCATCGGCCCTTAAAAGTCCCCTCCTCTTTTGGCGACACCACTAAAATAGCTCCAAAAACTGTTTGCCAAGCCATCGGAGGGGACCGGCAGACGCATCCAATTTTAGCGTATCGCTTCGGAAAAAGAGGCTCGTTCTCCCCTACCCACACCGAGCACTAGTTTCTCCTCCCTACCCTGATTTTCCGCGGAAATTTGCATTTTCAACCCACGCCAAGGGAATTTTGGCCGCTGTGCACTTTTTGAGCGGCAGTTTTGAGATTTTTGGTAGAAAGAATGTATCCTTTTTGTTCGATCTTTTATTGGAAGCCAAGGCTAAGACTAAGCCTAAGGCTCTGCTTAAGCCTGAGCTGAAGCCAAAGCAGAAGCCAGAGCCTAAGCCTAAGCCTAAGCCCAAGCCTAAAAGCTTCGGTCTGGGCCTAAGCGTAAACTGAAACGTAAGCCAAGGTTGACGTCTAATAAGCCTAAGTTAAGCCTAAGCCTACGTTTAAAACTAAAAGCGAAGCCTAAGC